TCTATGCAATGGGAAAAGAGTTGCTGTTTCCTCCAACATTTTCCTTGGACATAGATAAATCTGTGTATCTTTATGGGTGTACACACAGACAAAGGTATCTGTGTGTGTGTTGTAGTCAAATTGTGGTGTGGATTCAGATCTGCTGAAATGAAACCTTGTTCAATCAGGTCATTAGGTGTTAATAACTCCTTGTTAGTAAAGATTCCCTTCAGAGCTCAAACTGAATTTCATAGCTAAAATTTTTTGCTAATCCATGATAATTTTCTTTTATCGATGCCTTTTAATCTAAAGAAAACCCTTTTTTAATTAAAATACTAACTCACCTATAAATGGTTAAATGGCATAATAGAAAATGCAGTAGAATTAGGGAACTCAATAGGCTGAAGGAGAAAGTAGTGCTACTAGAGATACAGTGATTATTCCAAAAGAACAGACACATCCAGATTTATTTTGGTTTGGTTTGATGTGGTTTGGTAGATGCTTGGCATTGATCACAAACAGCACTGCATTGGTCCCAGTACTACATGCCGGTTCAAAAAGATAAACCACCAGCAACTCCTGGTCATAGTAGGGGTCACAACTCTGCCAAACTGCTCATCCAAACACTGGAATGGGAGCCTCAGTGGTAATTACTATGGGCATGCAAGTTTGAGGGATGTTGCGAATGGGGCAGATTGTTTCAGTTTGCCAGGTGGAAACAGAACTTTCCAAGTGCTCTGAATCCCTGTTTTTAAAGAGAGTCTTAAAAAGTCAGGCTGCTGATGCTGCAGTCACTAATGAAATACTTCCCCTATTGTTAGTTTAACACAGAATCCCAGACCTGGTTTGGGTGGGAAGGGACCTTAAAGCCCATCCAGTCCCATCTCCTGCCACGGGCAGGGACACCTTCCACTATCCCAGATTGCTCCAAACCCTGTACAACCTGGCCTTGGACACTTCCAGGGATGGGGCAGCCACAGCTGCTCTGGGCATCCTGTGCCAGGGCCTCCCTGCTCTCACAGGGAACAGACTTGGTCCCCACTGGAAGACAGACAACCTGCTGCAGAAAGTGTCATAAATGAGCCAGCTAATTAAATTTTCTGATTGCTGGCAGATTAGCGGCTAAGTGTTTTGCATTACATGGTTAATTCCTACCCTGGAATAAGCATCACTTTCCTTGTGCAGGAATAGTTGCTGGCAAAGTCAAATGAGAATTTTTATTTGCATCAACAGAAGAATTTTCAGTTTTGCTCTGCTGGCTTGGGCACCAGTGGGGATTGATCTCACTAAGAACTACAGAACTGGCCCCAAAAATGTGCAATATTGGCTTGAAATAACATCTCAGCCATTGAAATTGAAGTTTCTACTTCAGTAGTAGCAAGTCATATATGCTGCCAATATATGATGCCTGTATGATGTCATCACTCCATTGGGCACAGGACTGGCTTGTGAGGTGGACATAGATCATGGGCTGCAGCCATCAGCTCCTGGCTGTCATCAGTGACAGGTGGTGGGACCCCAGGGACAAGGTTGTGACTTTAGGTTCTATGTAATCAATATGCTTTTCTGAATTAAATGCTAGTTTTGCAGTTCTAGAAAGCCAGCATTGTAGTGACAGCCATCTTTACTCAATCCATTATATTTTTATAACTGGTTATTGCAGACATCCTTTTTCCTGGTGTTCTTGGAAGATGTCATTTTCTCTGCTCAAAAGAACTGCAGTTGTGTAACAGGAAGGGTTATTTTCATGCTGTTTAGGGCCTGGAGCTGGTCAATTTCATACAGGAAATCCTTACAGGAATGAGAGGCCTAAGGGACTCAGCAGGTACAGAATACTTCAAATAATTGTTTCATGCTTTTGTTAGTTTTTATAATTTGTGCCAGAAAGTCATCCCATGATTATGATCATAAGATTTGCCTTTGCTCTCAGGAGCAAAGTTCAGGACCAAGAAAAATCATTGTGCCTTGAAAAGCCACTTTTATAAAATGATCGGTGTTAGCCATTGACATTTGGCTGTAGAGTGTCAAAACAGATTTTAGAGTTTATGACACTGTCATTTGTTATTTAGTCCAGTAGAAGACTAATGCCCAAATCTCAATCTGTCAGGATAATCTTCATTTGAACATGAGTCAGAGGTGCTTAATTCTTGTATGTGAAAATCCTCCTTTCCTGTAATTGGGTTATGGGTGAATTAGGAGGAGTTTTTGTCTTTTCCACATTTAGGATATTTGTAATAACAGAAATCCTTCCTTCGGTGTCTTTTCCCCACCTGTATTTACATGGAGAGCCTTGTATTGACTTCAGCCTTTTAAAGTTAACTGTTGTTTACTTTAACAGTGTGACTCATGGTGACATGGTGTGTCTTGGCTGGTGGAAGTGTGTTTTTAAGGCTCAAGTCATGCTTTTAAGGAAACGAAAGCATGATAAAATAGATGCCAGGCCAGGCTGGACAGTGCTCTAAGCAGCCTGGTATAGTAGAAGGTATCCTTTCCCATGGCAGGGAGTGGAACTGAATGAGCTTTGAATTCCCTTCCAACACAACCCAGTCAGTGATTTTGTGATGCTATGTAATGCATTAAAATTATGTGCGTGGTGGAACTTGCAGTATATGGTACGATGTTCTTTATTGCACTCAAGAGAAAAAATGGTGGATCAGCTTGTTCGATCCATGAGCCGATCACGTCTGCCTGTCATCAGTCAGTTCTATAGAGAAGGCAGGAATTAGTGGGGGAATGAGCACCTCAGTGAGGTGTAAAAGAGATCCGCAGTAAATGTAGAAATAAAGCCCAATGGAATGGGAGATTGATTCCATCCCTACAGGTGAGAGGCAAACGGTTCAGTGTTGATCTGTCAAAACATGCAGATCCTGCATCTTCCACAGACCTGTGTGTCCACACAGCAAGTGGTGTGATGATCACATTGCCCTCTCTGTGTTTATTAAAATTCTCCTTCCTCTTTTTAAAAATAACTTTTAGTGCAGAACCTTATAGTGACAGTCCCATCAGTTACTAACATTTCTTGGACTGTGAAAATCCTGTTAGTGTTGTATTTTAGAACACAGTGAGCACTGCCACATGTGCACGGGATGATATATGATCCTGGTGTCAGCCAGAAATTATAAAGACAGGCTATTTTTAATATGTATTATAGAAATGACTGTTACTGAGACTGTGGTAAAACATATTTATTAAAGCTGCAATTAGAAATGAAATATTAAAGGACTGACCAGTGCAAAATTATTATTCTAAACAATTTTCAGGTCATAGCAATAATCTTCTCAATATTAAAATGTTTTCATTGTATCAGGATCTGGCACAAAATTGTTACTGGGAATGATTTTTCACAGGTGTTGGCCAGTTTGTGGCTGTGGGGTTTTTGTGTGTGCACATGTTGGATTTTTTCCAGGGGGGATTATATAGAATTGACTGCTGGTTTCTAGCGTCTAGAATCATTGTGTGTTTGAGTGGTGCTGCACATCCATGAGCATCGTGGGATGGGGGACAGAAGGGGCTCCAGGCTGTCTGTATCTTCCTGAGTCTCTCACGTTCCTCCTGCCTGGCACCGCTCCTGTGACACTGGCCCTGATGGGCTTGCAGGGAATGTGCTGACAATGTCTCATATTCATCTAGGAGTTTCATGTGTAAAATGGAAATAATTCCTGTTTTTCCTCAGCACATCTCCTAAGATGGATCATGAGGGAGTAGAGAGGAGGGTTTTTAGCACACCTGTTTTGGTGCAGAGATGGGGGGTTGATTCCTTGCCTTTCTTCTGCTTCACAAGGACTCTATTGAAAAAACATACCCCAGTCATCATCTCTGTTTGGCATACTCTTTTTAAAAAGAACTCTGGAATCACTACTGTGTAGCTTGGTTAGAGGGATCTGGTTGTGCTTTGTCTGTCAGGCTTCCCGTCCTTGGACCTTCTCAGCCTTTCCCAGCACCATGGCAGCTCCCTAAAACCACGAGATTTGTTGCTGCCTCAGAGATCATTCTCTGACCTGTTGAACTTTTATTACAGGAGATGCAAAAGAACAACCTCCCAATCTTTAGTTGTAGATCCCAAATTTAATTTGCAAGACAATGGAACTATAAATAAAAATTATGTAAATGGAAGGGCAGAAGCACTGACCCCTGGAATCGGTGCTGAGGGGCTTTTCAAATTAGCCTTTCATTGGAATGGGCATGAGAGTTTAACTTGGAAATGCAATATGACAATCTCTGTATGTAACTTATTCTCCAGCTCTCTTTCTCTGGTCTGGAATAAATTTAAAGACTTTTACTTAGCCACTTTCATTAATTTTACTCCAAACAAACGTTGTACAGAATTTCTTGTCTTTTGGAGTTCAGACTGGAAAAACATGGAGAAAATCCCATTTTTCTGGCATTAGTGGTCAGTGCTGCTTTGTTACAGACACTTTTACCTTTTCCCCATCCTCTGTTAAGTCTCTTGATCTTTTATGGATTTGCAAGGATAAAAGTGGAGTGCTTCTTTTGGGCTTGGAGAGTGTTAGCTTTGCTCTGCTCTTTTGTGTTGAATACCAAACCTGTTTGGTCCAACAATGAGACTGTCTTGAAATTGAAATTTTATGTTCAAGGAAACAATTGCTGAACATAGCATTTATGTGTTCAGATATTTACAGTTAAATATCTTAAAGCTTGATGGGCTCTGTGTACCTATCTATCATCTTTGCTTTTCCACAGTTGCTGAATCCTCATTTGCTCATTTGCTTCCTATAAAAAAAAATTAATGAAGTAGGAGAAAAGACAAAGTTTTAGTGTATCAGGAATGTGTCTCAGTGCTCACACTCTTTAAAATCAGCCGGTGCACTTCAAAAGTTTAAGAGCCATCTCCTTTGTAAAGAATGCAGATAATTGTTTTCCTGGCAAAAAGAAAAAAAGAAAAAAAAAAAGGTAACCTGATATGAGTCTGACAGTGTTGTTTAGTTAAGTGCTTCCATCTGTTGCTTGCTATTTCTCTTACTCATGACCTCTCTTTTTCTCTCCCACTTCTTCTCCTTTAGCCCCTCTGAGGAAAGCAAAGTTTGTTGAGAGCCCTCGAATCCCAGAGTCTGAGCTTGGCTCCCCAACCCTCTCTGCCCAGAAGCTGGACGTTGATGCATTCTGCCCCGGTAAGCTGCATGAGAAGACTCTGTGCAGAGGCAACAGGCAGAAAGATTTTTTAAATGTGTAATATAGCTCCTTTGGCCAGGTGGTTGGTTGGACCTTCCCTAGCTAAGTTTTGCTCTCTTGGAAATGTGAATAAGTGTTAATTTGTCATAATTGCCCATTTACATTTGTTTCTTGCAATTTTGCATGTGGCTGCTCTCCCCTCAGAAACCCTCAGAATAATTTAGAAGGTCTAGAGAGTTGCTTTTGAGAAAATAAAAATGAGCCAATAAACTCAAAATACTTCTTGAAATTTAATTTTTAATGCTGATATGCGGAGAGGCTGCAGTAAAACCACATCTCAGAAGCATCATTTAATCAGCTAAAGCAAAACTGTGGGACCTTATTACCAGCATCCAAGAACATTGGTGTGTTTACTTTTATTTAGTTTTTAAAGAAATACCTTCTAATTTATGTATTCTGCAGTAGTTGCTCTGAAACATATACATGTTGCTTGAGGCCTCTGGTTGAAAAATAAATAGGAGTGGGTCATGACCCTTCCTGGCTCAGTCCTGTTCATGTCTGTCAGTTTGGGCAGGCATTACCTAAATCCCCCAAGCCCCGACAAACCCAGCACATGTGAGTGTCTGGAATCTGCAGCTCAGTATCATTTTCCAGATTCTTCCTCACTTGGATGTGGCAACCTGGGGAGGGCTAGAGTCTCTGGAGGTGCTGGGAGAAGGCTGAAAGCAGCAGCAAGTGTTTTGGTGGATTTTATGCTGAATTCTGCAGTTTCTTCTCTTGGCTTTCCTTGATTATGAACCAAAGGGATGCATACTCACTATAGGCTTTGGATGGAAAAAAGAGTGTTTGAAATGGTGTGCAAATGTGTGACATCTGCCTCTGAAATCTGTAGCTACAGTAGCCAAGGTCATATTAATAAATGACTGTGAAATTAGTTTATTTCTGTGGCTGATGAACTCTTCTTGATGAAGAAGAGCTTGTACTCAAAACTGGAGGAATTAATTGAATGTTGTCCAGATTTTGAATGTGGGCTTTCTTGAATGTATTGTGTCTGAAAGAGAAGTTATCTTGGAAAATCAAGACAGTTCCTGTGCATGGCAATGACTAATTTGAGACCACAGTTGCCTGAAAAGTGCTTCTCCTTTTTCAATCATCATGAATTATAATGAAAATTTTGCTGCTGCTGCTCGTTTTTCTAACTGAACGGCTTCAACTGTCCTAATTGTTAATAATTATAAAGTTGTTATGATTGCATCCACAGAGAATTATCATTGCACTGTAAGACTGAAGAAACCTAAATTCCACATTCCCACACCCAGACATGTCCCTCCCCTCTGCCAGAGCTTTGGAGGGCAGGACTCCTGCCAAGCCCAGGGCTGGGCTCTGACAATGGGATCTACAATTTCTTTAATTTCTTTTTCTGGTTTTTGATCTTCTTTTGCTGATAGTTTAGTGATCTGAAAGGAAAAGCAGAGTTTTGTACTGCCTTGAAGCATCATTAAAGGTACAAGAAGTGTCATTAAGGAAGGAAAAATGTGACAATGGCAGAGTTGTCACGGTGGAATCATAGAACCTTTAGAGCTATCAAGTCCAAATGTAAACCCAGCTTTCCCAAGACCACCATGAAACTATATCCCCAAGTGCCATCTTGGTATACTTGGAACAGGGAAACAGGATAAGAACAGAGGAGTACATGCCAGGAAAGAGCACGGACTTAGAGTCAAGGTGGAAACTGCAGCTTGAGGATTCAGGTTGTTTCCATTTCCTTAAATGTGATCCCAGGGTGCTGTTGGGGAGCTGCTGTCTTCATGTGTGCCCAGGTCCAGGGACTGTGGCCAGGTTTATGCTGGCAGTTGAGACAGGCAGAGGAAGAGAGGAGGACAGAATCCATTGGGGAAGGATTTCTGAAGCTGTTCATGGAAAAAAAGTGCCAGAATTTGAGGATGCTTCTGTGAAAGTATTAGTGCTGCTGGAGGTTTTGCTTGTCTGAAAGGCTGGATTGAAGGAGATCAAGACACAATACCTTGGAAGAAGTAGGTGGTTGGGAGAGGATCCTTGTGTAAATAGGGAAAGAAAGAAAGAAGAAAGAGAAAAAAAAGAAAAAAAAAAAAATAATTGTGGTCAACTCACCAGGATTAAAGGGGATACAGCACCCAGCTCCTGATGGGAAGGTGGAGGAAGAGTCCTACTCTGGATCAAAGCTTCAGGCACTGTCTGGATTCAGTTTTCCAAGGAAATTCAACTCCTTTCTTCTGTACTAGGTTTATATTAACCCTCTTCTAAAGTGTGTGCATCCTGTGAAAGATATAGTACACAGGGCTAAATCGTGAACATTTCCAAGAATAATGGTGTGAGTTGAAAGAAGGAAAAAAGTTAGGCTGATGATCTGCCTGGCAGTGGAGGGGAGGTGGAGTGCTTTTTAATGTGATCCCTGGCAAAAAAAGTAATTAATTATACACCTGAAAGCACTTCCAAACACTGTATAGCAAAGAAAAGATAACGTTAGCTATACTACATATGTAGGAATAATGATTTCAGTTTGAGATGCTGAGAGGTGAAATTTTGCTCAGTATCAAAATGTTTATTCTGAGGCTTCAGGCAAAATTCAGCACATTCCAGGGAGGTGGTTTCCTGAGCAACCACAGTGCCACTGCTTGGCCCCTCATGCTGCTGGGGGGAAGATTTGCTTGTGACATGTTCAGTGTGAGTCAGTGTGGGGGAGTGACGTGCCAGCTCCGAGGAGGGAGAAAGAAGATCACGATACCGAGTGTCTTTAGAGGGAAGTTCTAATACCAAGCAAAAATAGTAAAGTTTTAAGCTTGGTATAATTATTTTTTTTAAATTATTATTATTATAACATTCATTGTATAGAAAAAAGAGTATAGATACTTTAAAAATAATTAAATCTTCTTACATGAATTTAGAAATTGGCCCATATTTTATAGTTGTTGTAGCTAAGATGATAGCAAAAAAAGCTGTTCCATGACTTTGAAAAGCCCCTTTCTACTGGAATTGTCACAGAATAACCTGAGTTGAAATGGACCCACAAGAATCATCGAGTCAAATCAAAGTTTCTGTAGATGGTTTTGTAGTTGCAGAGGTTGTTCAGATTTCAATCCAGCACTTCTTGACTTGGAAGTGTCCCTGGTGGAGGAGTTCTTCCCTGTCTCTTCTCTGTGGCTAGTGAAGCACAGGTTTCCCACCCCCGGAAATGTTCAAGGCCAGGTTGAACGGGGCTTGGAGCAACCCGGTCTAGTGGGAGGTGGATGGTGGAGTGGGATGAGCTATAAGGTCTCCTCCAACCCAGACCATTCTGTGGCTTAGCAGAGACTTTTTAAGGAGGGTCTCATAAGGTTTCTGATCCATCTTCCCTCCTTGTCTCTGCTCCAATCCTGCAGACACTGTTCAGCAGAGCCATTTGTATTTTCCCTGCAGTCAGCCTTCTGAAGACAAGGAGGCTGGGGATGACACCCTCACATACATCATTGCTCTTAAAGAAGAACAACGTAGAATAGCAGGAATTTACCTTCAGACCGCTGTTGCTCAACTGTCAAACCTTTTCTGCAGTGATTCTGGTGACTCAGTGTAATATGTAGGGGTTTTCCCCCACTTTATCACACCTCACTCCTGCCAAGAGGCGCTTCTTGTGTGGTAAATGCTGTCCTGACTTCCTGGTTCTTAGTTATGGTCATGAGGGAATCCTTTGAGCTGCTTTTGGTTTTTCATGATAGCTTAAACATGTTCTAAGTGCTCAGAAAACCTATTGGAAACTATCAGAGATGGATGGTGCTTTCAGGTAATGGCCTTTTGCCTCAGATTAATGTTTGCAGTTGCGTCTTATGTAATTTATTACCTTGTTGTCGTGCTCCAAAGGCTAAGTCTGTTATGACATTATCTTTTAATTTGATTAACTCCTTCTTCAGAAATTTTGGGACACAAATCTTGAGTATCTGGTTTGCTTGTTGCACATTAGACTGGAAGGCATCTGTTTTCATCCCTGATTGATTTATTGATTTAGGAATCACTGCAGTGCTCCCACCACAGACAGAGAGGGGAGTGATTTACCATGGCAGCGGCACTTGTGTTCTCATCACTCCTTTTTCTCTTCCTTTGCTTAAAGAACCATTGAGCTTGACATTGGCTTGCTGGTGCTTCTCTCTTTTTGTCATGTAAAATGTGTATTTTTCATTTCATGCTATCTTTGTGTTTCTTCTAAACACAGCAAAATGCTTGTCAGATCTTAGATGAAGCCCTTTCAGAGGGAATGCAGGAACCAGCACTGCTCTCTGATTTTTCATTGAAAAGATACAGGTACTAAGCCAAAAAATCATACAAAACCCCAAACAAATTTAGCCAGCAGGATTCTGGTCCAGCCTCTATCATATTGAACAGTGATAAAGTTGGGGGAAGGAGAGGGAATAATCAAACCAACTGTGATCTGACAAATGGTTCTACTGTTGAATCTTGTGGTTGTCCCAGCACTGTCAAGCCCACTGACCTGAAGGGAATGTGAGTTGATTGTGATCAGCCTAATTGCAGTAGAGCCATAATTTGGCACATTGGTTGCTATGGAAGCAATTGACTTTTCTCATGCTGTTCCTGGGAGGATGCTGCTGGTTCCTTCTGCCATATAAAGAGATGAAAGCAGTTTCAGAATAAACTCCTGTACTATCAAACAAGTCCCAGTCTGGTCTGAAATTCTGGATAGGAGGGGGGGAATATTGAAGGCATTGCTAGAGTTCTAGGTGTGAATTGGAATCCATTTGGGATTGGCCACAGACCAGTTGCCATTAGGTGTCATTGAGTTTGCTTGAACTGGAAGTCGCAACTTGGAGGATAGTGGCTGGGTCCAGAGTTTAGGGTTTATCGAATCTTCTTACCAAAGCGGAGTTGTTCAAGTTAAGAAGTGAAAATAATATGAATCCCATAGATTATTTCCATATGTTTTAACTGTTAAATAATGTGAGACAATGTGCTTTTCTTGAAGCTTCCTGGTGCAGTCCATTACTAATCAACCCTTACAACCTAGGGTTTGGGTTCATCTACCTGGAAGAGAAAAAAAAAAAGGGAAAAAAAGAGGGCCTAGGGCTGTAAATGATCCAAATTCTGTTTTTGTGATGGACTGCCCAACTTTAAAATGTGTCTGCTTTCAAAGATGTAACCTAGATGGCTCCTGAGCTGTGTTTCACTTCAGATGCTTCAGCAGCAGCAGCCTAGCACCTCTGGCTGCCCATCTGGATGATCCCAGGGAATCTAAGGAGTTGTTTCATCTCAGCAAGCAGCAGTGCTTGATTTCAAATGGCCTATTGGGAAACAGTAACATTTTTGTGCTAATACTTTGGCTTTTTGAATATTTATCACTTTCTGCCAGTGAATAAATGTGTACATAAGCAAACCAACCTTGATGGTTTTGAAACTGCCAGTGATGGGCCTGTGAGGATCAGTCTAAAATGTTTTCTTCCACATTTGAGCAGGTGGGGCAGATTTCTCCTTGATTGAGTGGCTCTGTCAGAGGAGTTTCCTCTTGTAGTGTATTATTTTTTGACAACAAGAGCAGCCCACACTGATGCTCTTGAATCCCAGCAGGGTTTGGATTGGAAGGCACCTTAAAGATCATTCAGTCCCACTCCCTGACATGGGCAGGGTCACCTTCTGCTAGAACAGGTTACTCCAAGCTCCATTCAGCCTGTCCTTGAACACTTGCAGGGTTGGAGGCAGCCACAGGTTCTCTGGGTGACCTGTTAGGAAGTGTGTGTGCTATCAGGCACAGTCCCAGCAAGTGTCCATGCTCTGCTCTAAAGGAGTGGAAGTTTTTGCCATAAAAATATAGCTGGAGGAGAGGGGAAAGAAAGGAAGCTAACTTTTGCAAAGTGCTGAGGCATTTTAGCAGTCAGTGGGTGATTCTTCCCTGGATCCATGTTGCAGCTCCCTCAATAAAACAAACAAATCCATAATTGTTCACCTTGCAATAGTTCTGTTCCTACTCAGTGTCTGTCAGGCTGGATTAGGTATGTGTTGGCACTCAGTGGGTCCCAGCACAATGACAACCTGACCTGTCAGTGTTAGCACCATCCCAATTGTGTTTGGGATCCTTGATGTCTTTAGACAAACTTCATTTTCCTTCTTAGTTCCCTGTTGAGTTCTTTAGGAGTTCTTTAGGTGGGGTTTAATTTGAAGTTAGCCTTTGCCTTGTGTTTATGCCTGCCCTAAGTGGAAATACAGGGATGCTAAACAAGGCAGAAAGGAAGGAGATGATGGTTGCTGGAGGTCTTGGTCATGGTTGTGCTGATTAGTGACTAGAGTGATTAATCAGTCCTCTCTTTTTCTTTCTGGCTCAGATATTTATTCCCAAATCCTTTAGAATCTAGAAGAAATGGTCAATAATTCTACTTCTTTTTTTCCTACAGTGTTTTGGGATGCCGTTATTTTGTTTCACCTCTTTATGGAGGCAACCCCCGTAGTATTCATTTTATCATTATTGTTAGCTGTAACAATAGGTGAAGGGGTGGTTACATATGTAGGAAGCTGCTCCATTCTTAATCTTCAAGGTTAAACTCAACCTTCAAGGAGTGAATTTTGGTTGGGAGTTGTTCCCAGCACTAAACCAAAGGAAACTGGCTGTGCCCGGTGCCCTGCATCTGCCTCACCTCCTAAATCCTCCCAGGTGGGCAGTGCAGAGGTAGATCCAGCTGTTCCTTTCTGGCCAGATGTGTAAGCATCATTTGAATATTTTTAATATCATGGTTGTAAATACAGAAAGGGGAATACACAATAAGCTGTGAAGCTGATGCCTTAAATTTTAGCTTTCATATTTTCCAGATTCTGTACTGCATTCGTATATAACGCTGAACTTCATATAAAGTGTCAGCAAGTTCTCCTCACTGTGTAGTCAGACACAACAATCCTTTTCCAGCCTGAGAACCAAGTACCATTGTAGTTTCAGGCCCAAAAAGTGTAAACAACAGCAAGTTGAGGAGAGCAGTCTTGGGAGGATGGGACTTCATAACCTGAAGCTGTAATTGGACAATTAACCCCAGTATGTAAATAGGCCAAAACTTATAAAAGTGTAAAAACGTGTGATCCGTCATCCATCTTTGGTGGAGCCATGGCCAGGCTCTTGTACTGCCCAAGGTGTATCCTTTGAAGGCCTTTAATACCTACTTTATTCCTTTACACTGTCTAGCCTCTCTTCTGGGTAGCCTCTCAAGGCATCAGTGCCGTATCTAGGGAATGGCTTTTACCAAAAAAAGTCTAACTTCAAAAAGGTAGTCTACCTTTTTAAAGAAACAAAGATCCTTGGAAATAAAAGTCTCTCTAGTTTTCGTTTTACATAAATGTCTCTGTTCTTGCTTGGGCTCCTAGAGCCAGTAAATGCCCACAGATTGACTGTGGGTGGTCAGCAGTTCCACAAATTGGGCCATCCGTCTAAATTTGTCTCTCTTAAATCTACTGGATTCACGTCAGCCTTGGTTCAGGCAGTACAGTGGGGATTCAGTACCTAACTGAATACCTAACCCTGATACAGCTTATGTGGACCTACTCTATCATCCATTTTCATAACAGTGAAGCCATTGTGGAAGGACAGCTCCAGATGCTCAACTCCCAGAGCTGGTAGTGCTTAGGAATGCAGTTGTGGTTGCATGGGAGATGCTTCCGGATTTTTAATTTGCAGTAGTGCAGATGCGACATCCAAAAATCGCTGTAAGCTTCTGTGAGCTGTAGTCTATGAGGTTAAATGAGAATTTCTGGAAGCAACTGGCTTAAATTTCTTGAGGTTTTGTGCATATTCCAGATTCTGTGGTCGGTGGGTTTCAGTTACAGTAATCAAAAAGCAATATTTTATTTAAAGTAGCATCCTTTTACTGTTTTACTGTTACTGCAGGCTTAGTGCTGGAGGAACCCAAACCAGGACAGAGCTGAGAAACAGAGATGGGCTCTTTTCCAGATTGTACATTATCAGATGAATAATTAACTGTAGACTAATTGCAAATCCTGATTAGTCTCCTATAACTGCACTAAGCACAGTATTACTTCAGTGTAATGCGGTAAGAACTTGACCTTCAAGCTTTAACCCTGGTGCTGGTGTGAGCAGGAAGAACTTGACTTTAAGAACCCAAATTGTATCTGTGATACTACAAGTCAAAAGCCCCCACAGACTTGTTACAAAATTAAAAGGATACAGAAAAGCCAGTAAACATGCCTGGCCTTTTCCCAGCGTGCATTGCTAGCTGGAAGCTTGTCTGTGCTGCTTTCCCTGCAGGTGGTGGAAAAAAAAACTGAACAGATTCTCAGGAATGTTGGTTTTGGCCTGTTTTGTAGACTTGATGAGGAATTGGCAGGCAGGTTACTTTGTGGCATGGCCCATAGGGTGAATGCAGAAGGTGAGTTGCATCTGGAGAGACTTGAATTTCTAGATGAGTGTGTTGGGGACAGCAAGTGACAGTGGAAGTTGCATATGTATTTTCTGTCCTGGTCTTTCCTGTTAACTACTCAGTAGCACACGTTGGTTTCTCTGCAGCTCGTGGTCCACCTTCCAAATGGCTCTCATAGCGTTGTCTTCTGTGTGAGTAACTTGGAGGCAGTTTCTGTGCCTCCAAGAAACAGAGGGAGGAGAGCAAACACTCTCTTCTCCAATGCTGGTGCAGAAAATCTTGTTCCCTGGTAGCTCTGGTGCTTCTGATACCTAGCTGTGCTTCCGTGGGAGGTGCTGAGAAAATAACAAGCAGTGAGAGGAGAAGCAACAGTTAACGCTGGAGAAAACTTATACCTGTTACATGACCTAAAATTAATGACCAGCATGGAATGGTGAAACAGACTTGAATAACGTGAATAACCTGAAAACCCGGATACTGAGGGTACACAACAGGTAGTAGTGTGTTGGTAAAGCCACTGGGCAGCAGCCAAAGTAAACAATTCCTGTCTGAATCTGGTTTCCTTCTGTTTAGGTGATACTGAGCAAGAGCTGGGACCCCCTCCATCCGTAGATGAGGCAGCAAACACACTCATGACTCGCCTGGGCTTCCTCCTCGGAGAGAAAGTCACGGAGGTTCAGCCAGGGCCCCAGTACAGCATGGAGGTGCAGGACGAGAACCAGGTATGAGCCCCCCGATCCCGAATGGCATGGGTTGGGATCACTGTGGTGTTTGGGAGAGGGTGGTTATTGTCTAATTCCATGGCAACCAGGTATCTCCTAAGGATGACACCTTTGCATTGCAGCATATGCAATGGTGCTGAGGTAAAGGTTGTATCTCCTCATCATGCAGTGACTCATCCTTAGAGAACAGCAGGCCGTGGTTCAGGGGTCAGCCATGTAGACAGCTTCTGTTGTTTTCCTGTTTCGGCATGTATAGGAGTGGGCAGTGTTTCTAATCAGATTATAGTGACCAAAAGAATCTGTATTTGCCTGGCATCTTCTCTGTGATATATCTGAAGTAATTCATTAGTTTTACATAAAGACTCACAGTCTCTGCAGAAGGGAGAGGAAAATAGTAATAGTGTGGTTTTACAGATAGTCACAGTTCTTGCTCATATTTACCCAACAAGGTCATTTCATGCTTGAAAACACATAAAGAACGCAAATCATAAAATCTTTATTCTGGTGGAACTTGTTACACCTCTGGCTGGCTGGAAAGCTTTGGGCTATGATACAGATTTTATAGAAACTGTCTGAGCCTGAGTTTCTCCCTCCTTTTCCTCAGGTATGGACAATTAGCAATTTTGCTGAGAGTGAAAATAGGAGGCTTTCCCTGTCCCCCCATCCGTGCCCCTTTTTGTATTTAAATTGACAGTTGGACAGTTTGCAGCAGAAGAGCACAAAACTAAGCAGCCATTTCCAATTCTCTGTTCTTTTAATTGTCATAGGGTGACTCTGCATGAATCACTCAGATACTTAACATAAATGTAATTCAGAGAACCTGAATTCCTTAAAAAGAGAATCAGTGAAAAATGGCCTGTCCTCAGCACAGAATGGTTGTGGACCCGTTGGAGCAAGTCCAGAGGAGACTATGGAGTTGGTCCAAGTGCCTGAGTCCCTCTGCTCTGGAGCCAGGCTGGGACAGCCAGGCTGGGAGTGTTCAGACTGGAGAACAGAAGGCTCTAGGGAGACCTTAGAGCCCCTTCCAGTGCCTAAAGGGGCTCCAGGAGAACTGGAGAGGGATGTTGGATGAGGGCCTGGAGTGACATGAATGGCTTCCCACTGCCAGAGGGCAGGGTTAGATGGGATGTTGGGAAGCAATTCCTCCAGGTGGGGGTGGTGAGGCCCTGGCACAGGGTGCCCAGAGAAGATGTGGCTGTCCCAGGATCCCTAGAAGTGTCCAAGGCCAGGTTGGGTTGACTGACTGACACAAGACATTTTTGATCTCCAGCATGAGCTAGTTTGAGTGAAGGCCAAGAAATGTGATTCTGTAAAGTTTTTGCCTTTAACACATATGTTACACTTTTAACACTAAAATGGACTGTACTATACATTGGGCTAGAAAATGTCCTTTTAACAGGAGCCTATTTCAACTGAATGCTTCAAGGCCAAGCAGAGCTTTCTACTATAAATGGTTCCTTTTGTTGTTACCTTTTGACAAAAATTAAAATCCCATCTTTTCACTAAAGCCAAAGATGTCTTTGGTGAATTAATAGAAGAAAAAAAATCTAAAGAGAAATATTAGAGACTTGTCCTCCTAAACTAGATTGATGTCTTGGGCTGTGTGCTAATTTGTGTGCATGAAAATTTTTTTCCAGGGCCTTTGAATGCTATTCATGTTCAGGAGAAGACAGAGTGAGGCTGGTTCCTCAATTACCGAGTTAATTTTTTCCTTCCTTTGTGAGCATCTCCTGATGTCAGCACTTGCCTTGAATCCTGGAATACTCAAGGTTGGAAGTGACCTCTCGAGGTCAACCCATCCATGCACCCCTGGTGGCAGGGCTGGCTTCACTGAGGGACTGTGGTTCTCAGGGCTCCCCCAGGCAGGGTTTGAAGATCTCTGCTGATGGAGATCAGTGGGCTCTCCAGACAGGCTGTTTTGGGGCTCACCAACTTTTAATTGTGAAAAATAGTTTTCTTCTACCTAGCAGAAAATTTCCTCAATGGAACCAGGGACTGTAGCTCCTTGTCCTTTCCCTTTCCACACTTCCAAGAAGAGTGTGGCTGTGTCTTCTCTCCAGGCCCTGCAGAGAGTGGAAGGGTGCGGCTATCCTTGGATCCAGTGTAGCTGTCCTTTCTATAGGCTGAATCAACCTTCTCCATCAGCCTCTCCACCTCAGCCCCAGCCATCTCACATTTTTGGGGCTCTTCTCTGACTCTGCCATCTCCTACTGGCTGTCTCAGCAAATAAATCCTGTCCAAGCTAAAGCTGCTTCCAAATTGCAGCAAATTTTGAGAAAACCTCTCCAGATCTCCATCCCAAACTGAATTTCTTCTGCTACACTACTTACAGTTACGTTGAAAATCATGCAGTGAGACATTAAGGGATTTGCAAAGATTAATTCTTCTATTAATCATTGATTAATTAAAATCTGATTGAGACTTTGACCAGTAGTTTGCACTTGAATCTAAAAATTAGAACAGTCTTTTAGGTTTTAATGTGTTAATTTACATGAGCTGAGCAGAGAATACATTCTTTGTATCAAAAGCTGCTGCTTGTTATTCCAGCCATGCTTTGCCTTCTCAGGCAAGGCAATAATTATTTGCCATCTCACCAGTGCTTAAGCTGAAAGGAAGATAAGGAATGGGAGCATTTGCACTGAAACTGCCCAATCTCTACGTTGCCTTTTCCCCCAGTTGCTTTATTTTGAATATATCCAAGGATATATTCTCTAATCTAGATTGTAATAAAATAGTCTGTTTTCTATGCTTTTAATCGTGATTTCCTTAATGGGAGATCCCAAATGATGGGGATTAAATCTTTATTCCCCTACTTTTTTGGGAAATTCTTTCTAACTGTATTTTCTTCCAGAGCAGCACAAAGGACATTGAGGCTCTGGCAGAACAGAGTAATTTTTCAAAATTCAGTGAAAATGTGACAGATGAAACAGCAGCAATAATAATACAGAATGTTCTGTCAATGGAAATTTATATTTAAAACTCGCACAGAGGAACATTTTTCTATATCAATACAAAAATAAAACATGTCAATCAATGCCAATTGATATACTGTGTTATTTCATAATTTCCAGTTGCAAGGAGCTTGTTCTTCAGGAGCTGCATTGATAACACAGCAAATAAAGGAACTTCTATCACTTCTGGCATTTCATGAAACAATAGTTTTATCAGCTGGAGGGAAGATGAGTATACCATCCTTGCAGTGAATTTTAATTTGCTTTGAAGTGAAATGATTTCTGTGTTAGAGTCAGTGGATGTTATTTTGTACTGAGATAAGTTTCAGTGGGAATTTGTTTAAAATTATAGTTAAAGACATAGAAAAACTCCACCACAAAGAATTTATAATAGTAATAAGGGTTTACATTCTGGAAGATCCCATATGTAAGCTGATTGAATTTTAGATGTTGTCTTTTGAGATTGGCAGGCACTTCTGGAGATCATCTAAACCAACCTTCTTCTTCAAGCAGGGCCAGCTGAGATTGGGTTGGGTTATTCCCCACCTGGAATTCTCTATACAGTTCTGGTGCCCCCAACATAAAAAGACATGAAACTGAGCAGGGCTGGGCAGAGGACAAGCATCACTCCTTCTCCTGCCAGCATGACTCTTCCACATGCAGCCCAGGATACCCCTGGCCCTCCTTGTCTGTAGCTCCCCAGTTATATTACCTTGAAATTGATGCAGTTCATTGGATTGTGAGTTCAAAGAAAATATTGGGAAAAGCTGATTAAATGGCTCAGGTGTGAGGTGTGCTGACGGAGTCCCATCAGCTGTGATAAATCAGAAGATAGTCCCACTGGGACGGGTAACTCAGTGAAAACATCTGTGTGGCACAAGCCAAACAGCAAGCCAAAAACAGCCCTGTATTAGGTTATATTAAAAATAATAATAAACCCCATCAATTTTAAAGGGAAAAAAATAATGGAATACTTTCATTGAATGTGGCACACAAGTCGTTTTTAATTTGGCCACTACAATAAATGAGCTAGAAATCATTTTATAAAATTAAAAGCAGATTTAGAAAAATACAGTAGTGTATTTACACATCTGAGAAATTTGCAGTATGAGGACATGGAAAAGGTTCATGGAGAGAGAATATGCATGACAGGTGATGAATGTGTGAAACCAGAATATTCAGAGAGGCAAAATAACCAGAGCAGTCAGCTTGCCTACAGTTCCTAGAAGTTTCCCCTAGAAGGGGAAAAAGGAGATGTACTGGTAAGTGCCTAGAATGTGAAAGAAGGGAAAATAACAATAACTGGGATTTACGAGTGGTGCTTTAAATTGGATGGAGAGAGGAGAGCATTGCTTTGCTTGTCCCAGATATTTCAAGAGAGATGAGCATGGTGTCAGTAGCCACCACGTACACTGTGGGTATTTTAGAATCACTGGATTCTAAAATCTGCTTGTTGTTTGAATGCTTCCAGGGATGGTGACTCCACCACTGCCTTGGGCCTGCCAGGTCCGATGCCTGACCACTCTATCAGCAAGAAATTTTCCGTTATCAAACCTGAACCTACCCTGGACCAACATCAGGCAATTTCCCCTTATCGTGTTGTGTGTTGCTTGGAAGAAGAGACCAACCCTGGTGTATACCACAGGGAGATTATAAATTAACATGGAAATACTCACACAGTTAATTTTCTGCTGTGTTGGTTTGTCTGTGTTAATACACAAACCTGCCAGCAGAGCTGTGACATTGGCACTGTGTCCCTGCTTTGCTGATGTGCTGTTCCATGTTGGGGATATTCTGTAATTAGGCTGGGATCAATTCAGCTCCCTCTGGCATGAGAGTAGAGCTGTGGGGTGATCATGGGGCTGTCCCATCCCCCCTGCCATGTCCTGTTGCCTCCAGCACCAGGGCAGTTACACTCTGAGTAAGGATTTTTACAAAACCCATGGGAATACTTGGACAAAGTAGGTTTTTCCTGGTAGCTTCACATGGTAGCTGCCTCCTAATATAAAACGTTCAACTTTAAAAGTCCCTCCCAGACATTTTTTAAGTTTCAAATCTGGAATAGGGAGGAGGAAAAAAAAAATTATATGTCAAGTCTGTTAGGCAGTTTGCAAGTATGATGCTTTCTGTGGTCTCCTTCAAATGTCACAGAAAAGGGGATACAAAGCCACACAGTTATGTGGGGATGCTCACACAGAATAAAAGAAATCTCATTTAACCAGATTCCAGATGGGCAATGAACCTCTGCTGTTCCTTCCTTGGGACAGTGAGTGAAGTGCTGTCTGCTGAGCCCAGCTTCAGCCGACAGCAGCAGTGCAGAAGAACTGGCTGTGCACTGCGCTGTCCCCTGAGCCAGGGAGACGTGGGGTCACCTTCCTCTGCAGAACCCTAAAGGTAAACTTGAGGGAGGATCACGTGCTGAAATTCCCATTTTTTAATGCATACTTTTTGCCAATCCTCGAGGGGTAATGGACTGACACTCCGAGGGTGTGGCTCCTCCAAGTGCCCAACCTGTGAGTGGGTGCCAGTTCCATTGGTCAGTCCTGTGCAAGTGTTGAAATTGCCTGTTTATTTAAAAAAAAAAAAAAAAAAACAACAACAAAAAACAACAAAAACCTGAAGTCCACTTTAAGGGTGATGAAGTTGGTACACAAGACGCCAGCTGTGCCTGCCAACCCACTTGACCCTGCATAGCAGTTTTGGCCTGCAGTTGCCTCATGACATGTCTTCAGCAGGGAGAACCTTTTTCCAGTGGAGCTTCTGTATCCAGTAGCCTGTGATTAAAACAAGGGCTCTGTCATATATCAAATTGAATTCAAGAATGATTTTGGATTTTGAATAAATCCATCTCCCTGCACAGGATCAGATGGGTAAACTCCTCCAGGTCCCTTGTACACGGTACCCTATAGAGTCTCACCAAAAATTACTTCTAAAGCAACACCCTCTTTATGCTGTTTTATTTTCCATATTATTGAGGGTTTGTTTAAATTTTATGTGGTAGGGAAAGCAGGCCTAGGCAGGGAAGGGCCATCTGGTATCTAGATTTCTGTTGTTTTCCTGGAATGGAGGAAGCATTTATAGAGCAAAATAAAAACTGCAGCCCCAGAAGGATTCTGAGAAGATGAAAATGGCCCAGGGGTCTTTGTAGGATTTCTTAGATATGATGATTGTAGCTGTAAGTAAAGGTGAGATCACACTGCGTGCTTCCCACTCCAGAGCTGTCCACTTCAACACAGACACGGAATTTACATTTCTCTCATGGTTTTTTCATATCTGAGCTTTTTTTTTTAAGCTTTCAGTTCAGTGCTAACAAAACAATCAAAATTCTTGATCAAGTATGGAATCAGGGTTGTGATAAATACCACTGTTTATGTTTCCTGTGGCTCCTATTGAACATGGAAGCTGGGATCTCTAAAGTGTGAATGAGAAAATGAGCCCAGTGTCTGCTGAGTGGGGGTGGCCTAGTGGATCTTTTCATTTTTAACCTCAGCAGGCAAAGCAAATCCTCAAGCGTGAGCTATAGAAAGACCATCCCCCTCGCAGTGCCTGTGGTGAGTGATATGTTCCTGCTTCCCATTTTCCAGAGCTCGGCGGTGACGCAGCGCATCAGCCCCTGCTCCACGCTGACGAGCAGCACGGCCTCGCCGCCAGCCAGCAGCCCCTGCTCCACGCTGCCGCCCGTCAGCACCAGCGTCACGGCCAAGGACTGCACCTATGGGGCTGTCACCAGCCCCACATCCACACTGGAGAGCAGAGACAGCGGCATCATTGGTGAGTGTTGGGCCATACTCCTCCTCTTCCTCCTCCTGCTCCTCCTCCTCTTCCTCACTACTGCTGGCTGAGCCTCCGTGCACAGGGCTGGTCTAACAAGGGTAGGTGTATCGTCAGAGGATCCCAGGATGGTTTGAGTTGGAAAGGATCTTAAAGACCATCCTGTTCCATTGCTTGCCATGGCAGGGACACTTTCCACTATCACACGTCACCCTAAGCCCCAGTGTCCAGCCTGGCCTTGGGCACTGCCAGGGATCCAGGGGCAGCCCCAGCTGCTCTGGGCACCTGTGCCAGGGCTTCCCCACCTGTGCAGGGAGCAATTCCTTCCCACTATCCCATCTATCCCTGCCCTCTGGCAGTGGGAAGCCATTCCCTGTGTCCTGTCACTCCAGGATCTTGTCCCAAGTCCCTCTCCAGTTCTCCTGAAGCCCCTGTGGACACTTGAAGGGGCTCTGAGCTCTCCCTGGAGCCTTCTGTTCTCCAGTCTGAATAAGCCCTGCTCTCCCAGCCTGGCTCCAGAGCAGAGGGATTCCAGGCATGTCATCAATTCAGTGACTACCTCTGGACTCACCCCAGCTGTTTCATGTCCCTTGGGAACCCCAGAGCTGGATGCAGTGCTCTATTTAGATAATATTATTTATCTATGTTTGCTAATTAGGGGGATGGTTTTGCATAATTCAGGTTAATAGTGCAGTGTCCAAGGTGATCTGTGCCCCTCCATCTTCCATTCCTCATAGGTAAAACTACATAGTAGTTGGTGAAAATTGGGATGTATGAAGTTGATAACTTTGCATGAATTAATTTACTTTTGGACCTTTAATGGTTTAAATTGTGCAAGAGAAAGCCTTGGGTAGGATCTGAACTAAATTATCACAAATTTCAGTGAATTTCTGGAGGTGCTGTAGCAGGTTTCCATTTGAGTGATCTGTGGGTTGCAAGTGTAAGGAATCTGGAGAAAATAACATATACAGGTTAATTCTTTTCAGTAGCTCTGCAGTCACAATGGGAAAACATTTTTGTTTGTATGACATCAAACAGGATGATCGTCACTTGGGTGTCTTTGCCACATGTTCTAGGTTGAGTGTTTCCCCAGCTTAAGAAGATTTTATTTTGCCAACAATTTATGTAGTCTTTAAAAAAAAAATAAAAAAGGCAGGTTGATAATTTAGGGAAGTTAGTTGCACTAGTGGTTAACATTTTGCTTGGCTGATCAGGGAATCTGGGCTTAATTCAGCTCTTGGATGCCACAGCAACCCTTGCAGCACTTCTGCCTGCATGATCTTAAAATGCAAATGGGTGAGCTATTCTGAGCTGTGTGCCGAAGTAGGTTAATGAATCCTGGGAAAAGTCACTGCAGAATCCCACCCCCTCACCTCCCTGCTCAGCATGTCCCACCATCAGAGTTCCACCTTCTCCCACATCCAACCCCAAAGCTCGGCTGGGCTGGAGGGTCACAGTGAGTAGTGAGTGGATGTTTGATCCCAGCTGGGTCCTGTCTCTGCCCAAGCTGTCAGTTGGTTCTAAGAGCTGAGCAAAGGTTGAAAGGATAAAAAAAAAGTTATAAGATCCAGATCTTCACATTCAGATATTCTTTATTTGTAAAAGAAAAGCAATGGGGAATGGGGGAGAAGGTGAGCCAAGAGGAGAGGTAGGAGCAAGTCAGCCCTTTCTTCTGGATGCCACAGAATCCTTTCCATGTAAAACAGAATGGCTGGTGAAAATCCTGACCTGACTGTAACCTCTGAATAGCTTCCAGGATTTTTTGGCTCTCACTCTGTAAAAGCAGCCAGCTGTTGATGTTAAAAAAATCTGCTACTGAAAAGAAAACTGGTCAAAGAATCATGTGCTGCTCTGAGGAAACTTTGACCTCACAGCCCCTCCAATGTGAGCTTGGAAGCTTTGCTGCTGGAATGCAGCAGAATACAGGGAAACCTCCACCAGTCTTATCAATCCTTTGAAATAACCAGCAAACTTTTCTTGCTAGTATGCAAAGCTTATCCAAATGATGTTCAAGCAGCACTTTGTCATTAGCAGCAATCTCCTAAGGAAGGGCTGTTTTCCATGTGGCATCTTCCTGTAGAAGTGTGTTCATACACCCCAAGTTGAAATGGGGGCACACTTTTTCCCTGGGATGATCTGTACTCTGTTCCATGCTGAATTGTCAGGGGATCATCCTGTGCAGGGACACAGGTAAGAAGGAAGAGCAGCTTAAAAGGGAAAGCAGTGAGCAGTGGACATCCTCTGGTCCCCCTGCTGCGGTGAATTGTACAGGTCCTGTACCATATGGACCAGATGTCTTCACTTAGATTTTGTGGATTTATTTGATGGAAGATAACATATAAAGGAGCTCTATCCCCTACTGGGAGTCCCTGGCCTATAGCTTCTTCGAATTACTCTTTCTTTGCTATTTTTTTCCTCTTATTCCTGAGCTTTTATCAAGATCCTGCCTTCTACACATGTATGTGTTTGTTTGTTAAAAATAGGTTTGTTAATAAGTTTGCCTAAGCGCCTGATAAGCAAAATAGATGCTGCTAAGCAGAATAGATGCTGCTGACAATGAAACAAGATGGATTTATTTCCAACTTCATCTGCTTTGAGAAGGGAACAAAGAGCAGCTCAAAAGGCGTGTCAAGATAAATTTAACTCAGGTTAAATATTTTTGTGATCTTACAGTTAAAGCATTCGAATTCTGACATTCTCATCAGTATTATGAAATGCTCTGTTAATAATGAATAACATTTCTGAGAATTACAGATCTTTTTTTCACTCTCAATGGCTTCTAGTTGGGCTCATTCCCCAAAGAGGAGTGTCCTGAAAAATGCCTCATCTCAGTGACTAGTGAGCTTTTGTTCACTAATGCACCTTCATATTTTAGGTGATGGGGATGATGGTTCAGGAGGAGAAAAGGGAGCTAACTTTTCAAGTTTCTCATCAGCTCTTGAGCCAGATCAGTTGCTCACCACCACGCACCCAATGCCTTGCCAGTTCCCCACCTTTCAGGTACCAACTACTCCTTTCAGGTAGCTGTAGAGAACAGTAACCTCATCTGTTAAATAAAATTATATAGGGGAAACTGAGTGGATTACAGTTCATAAAAACTTACTGTCAGTCAAATGAGATAAGGGCTTCGGTTTCTGAACCAAACTAATCCATGGAAGCTGGTTGTTCAGGCAGGTTCAGTGGAGGCTTCTTAGTGTCAGACCTTGCAAAGTTCTGCAGACATTTCCTGGAAATGGAAAGGTAGAAACTATGATGCCAATTAAAAGACATGAGGAGCCATGGCAATGTTTCCTCCTAAATAATTTCTATTATTTCTGGAATGGTGTATTTGAATACAATGCAGCACAGAATTTTTAATACTCTTTGTAATTACAAATGGCTTTTAACGATATGAGCCAAAACATTAGAGCTTAAATGTTGTTTTAGAAGTCGTAAGCAGAAACACTATCATTAAACTAAAATCCATAATCTCTGATTTATGTGAATGTGGAAAATATGATGAAGATAATTTTTGGCTCTTGCGTGTCTCAGCTTGGCATTGAGCAGCATGTGTTCAAGCCACTCTTGCTTCGTTACTAATTTTGTTATAATTTCTTCCTTCAAGCTACGTTGACAAGTTACTCTGAGAATGTGGAACGTACTAAATACGGAGGGGAAAGCAGTAAGGAACTTGGATCTGGGGGAAATCTTAAACAGTGGCAATCCCAGAAATCCAGCATGGACTCCTGCCTGTACCGCGTGGACGAGAACATGTCAGCCTCAACCTACAGCCTCAACAAAATCCCCGAGAGGAACCTGGAGACGGTCCTGTCCCAGTCAGTGCAGTCAATTCCTCTTTACCTTATGCCACGGCCAAATTCAGTAGCAGGTAAGAAATTAATGTTTGTGCCTTTAGGTCAGAGCCAGACACAGCACACAGATGAAACAGTTATGTTTCAGTTATGAACAGTTATGAAACAACTGTTTCCTTATCCAGGAATCTCCTTCCTGGAGTCATCATCCTAAGAATGACAAAAATTGTTTTTTTGTTTGACTTACTGGTTCTAAATGGAAAATTCCTCAGTGGAAACCTGTTTCTGATGGTGTTTAATGGTTATTTCAGCAGTATATGGTCTCCTTCTTACAAAATTATACAACAAGATTACAGGAAAATATGTTTAAAAAGAAAAAAAAAAAAACCAGATTCTTTACTGTCATTACAATGCAAATGTCTTGCTTTTAAGGTGCCAAGAAGTAATGGCTATTTCTGCTATTTCAAAGGATTCATTGCAAGTAAAATCAAGTGTCTGATGTTCTCTGAAGAGCTTAAGAGCTCTGGAGTTAAGAGAATGGTGGTACTTCCTGTCTACAGATTTGCTCTGGGTCCTGTCTCTCCCGGTGGACTGTGTCCCAGACATCTCACACCTCACAGCACCTGGCATTTGCTAGTGACTGACATTTTTTGTCTTGGCATAAAATCAACATTATTTTCATTTAAATTCATGTCTGCTCTTCAAAACATTTCTAAATGATGCTGTGCCATACCTTATTGATGTCTTTTACCTGCTGAGCATTCCCCTGAATCCAGTAACAGCAGGGCAAAAAAACAGTGATGGGATTAGAAATATTAAAGCTTTGCTGGAAAGCTGCTTGCTTAGAGTTACTCCCCATTCCTTTATTGCCCCATTTTTATTTTTTTTTTCCTTTGTGGGTAACTTCTCTGGGGTAGAATGTGTTGTCTATGTGTCTGTGTAGACATGTGGAGAAATGCACACTAAGAATTCTGAGTCCTGGTGGATGCTGCTCCAGAAAACCCAGAGACAATTCTGAGAGATACCCCATAGAGCCTGGGATGTTTTCTGTTAAATCAGCATCCCTTGGTGAACCAGGCTGCATTGCATAACTGGATTAGTTTTCCTTTTTAATCTTACTTCGGCTGGTCACAGACCTAAAAGTGGTGTAGAAATGAAATTTACAAATGGTGAAGTAAACCTCCAGGGCATGGAGGTGCAGCACAGTCTGAAAACCTGAGATTTCAGACTGGAGAGAGGGGAGAGAAAAAAACTTGAAAACTCTGCTTGCTTTAGATTAATTCCTTATAAATGACGTTATGTAAACACCTTCCAAAGCAAACAGAGTAGGCTGGGCACCATAAATTTAAATACATGTGTGTTGATGTAATTGTCTTTGGAAGCTGTTGACTTGCTTGGTGCACTTAGAGGCAAATAGTATTTCAAGAGGAAACCATGCAGTAAAGTTCAGGAACAACTTTTCCTTCTGGATGTTTATTTTTTAGTAGAGATTTTGCTGTTTTGAAGTGCTGTGTCAGCTAACACAGTTCATGTATGTCCTAGTTTAGAGCAAATTTGGGAGAGAACCTCCAAATGGGATTCCCCCAGAAAAGAAAAAAATCAGACAGCACCTGCCCCCAACTGGTTCAGGGGAAAAAGGTTCCTTAGAGAGAAGTGGAAAAAACTGGTTTTTTAATAGAAATTAAATAATATTAAACAATAAAACCTCTTGCTGTTCGATGAGATGGCAAATCAAGGAAGAAAAGTCCTTTTCATGTGGTGTGGCTTTTCTCGTTCAGGTTCTTATCAGTCCCTCCGGTGCCGGAAAGTGCCGAGGCCCAGGCCCCGGTGGGCCACAGGGGTTTGTCTGGGTGTTTTTCAGTCCAGAGCAGGTTTGAACAGATCCAAGGAAAAAGGAAAAAAAGTCCAGGGAACTCCTCTGCCTCAGCTAGCTAAAACTAACTAACCATAAAAGAGAAGCTGTGTCTCACTGTCTGTCCGTGCTGCAGACACCACAGTCCAGGAGAGGATGTGCGGGAGTGATGTTTTCCTTCAACACAAACTGCAGCTTCTTCTTCCCCGCTTTGCTCTCAGAGCCAGTCTTAAAGGTGCAGAACTTAATATGTAATATAAACCAGGCAATTGGGGATACCAGTGTCATAAAGTCACCCCAGGACATTCCACCCCTTATCCCCATATCATCAACTTATTACCAAAATTTACATATATTCTAACTCTACAACACATACATTATATACAGACAAGGGCATTAATTCATGGTTCTCACCCAACAATCAGATATCCCTGAGGTTAAATCATGGAAGTAACCACAATGAGAATTCGAGATTTGGCTTAATGTTTTATCATCAAAATATCACATATTGGCTCCTATATGCTTATGGCACCTGAAAATTATGGGGTTTAGGTAATGGATTTATATGTGTGGTTTTCCCAAACAGTTTAACTTCATTATCGTTGTGCCTGAATGATGGGAAAGGGAAACCAAGTGTAGTTTCAGGGTTGATTTAAGTCTGTCTGCAAATGTAACATTGCTCAAAGACTTAATGCTGAGCTACCAATTCCATGTCCTTGCTCCAGTGACACACTGGTTGGGTAAGCACTTGATAAACCAGATTAGTTGACTAATCCAACTGAAAATTAACCCACCAGAAAATAGGTATATTAATTTTGAGCCTGAAGGTCATCAGTAAGTGTGGAGACAGTGTAGCTGGGAGTGGGACAAAAAGCTGCCTTTCTTTTAGTGGTATTCCATGGTATTCCACATTTTAAGGTAATCATGAATTCACAGCTTTGCTAAAGCAGGCTGTTCTTCACTTATTTTATTTTTTTTTTAATGCAGTTGAATTTATACATGATTGGTTGGGAAGCAAAGCATAGCAGCACTTAATACCTGCTGGTTTGGGGTTTTTTTCCCTCCTTTTTTTTCTTTTTGGCTTTTTTTTTTTAAGGTTCTCCCCAAGTATCTTACAAAACAGCACAAAAATACCCGTTTTTATAGCAGCTTACAAAGTGCAGTCACTGAATGTGTTGTGTCCCTGCTGTCACTTAGCAGTTTGCAACTAGGAGCAGTTCTTACACACGGTCTCCCCCTGGCAGGGTGGGCAGGCCCTGGCACAGGGTGCCCAGAGCAGCTGGGGCTGCCCCTGGATCCCTGGCAGTGCCCAAGGCCAGGCTGGACATTGGGGCTGGAGCAGCCTGAGGCAGTGGGAGGTGTCCCTGCCCCTTCAGTGAAGAAAAGATGGCAGGCGTCAGCATAAACTGCACCAGTGAGTTGTGCCTTTAACGTATAGGAAATGTTGTCTCTGTCAGCTTTGCAGAGACATGACTGAGTTTGTGACTGGCAGAACTGAGACCAGGTACAAGAGAGTCCATGTCTCCATTTTCCATATATCTTCTTTTATTTGGAAACACCTACAGGAGAACAGACCAGAGCAAATGCCAGTGAGGCATGAGAAAAAGTCACCAAAACAATGTACTTCTTCCTAGGGGAAATGGTACTTGGTTCGTGTCAGCTCTGTTGTCTCAAGGTACTTACATCTCCATGTATTTTCATTAAAAACTGAAAAATGCAATAACCAGAGTGTGAGATCCAAACGCCGGGTGTGATGTACTTCTTTGCTTTCTCATGGCAGCCACCAGCTCAGCCCACCTGGAAGATCTGGCTTACCTGGATGAGCAGAGACACACTCCCCTGCGCACATCACTGCGGATGCCGCGGCAGAGCGTGGCCAGCGCCCGGGCACAGCAGGACCTGCGAGGTAGGAGCACAGCGGGGCCCTTGGGCAGCAGCCACCGCATCCATGTCCATGTGAAAACCAGAATCCCAGGATGGTTTGGGCTGAAAAGAACCTTAAAGCCAGTGCCACCCCTGCCATGGCAGGGACACCTCCCACTGTCCCAGGCTGCTCCAGCCCCAGTGTCTGGCCTGGCCTTGGGCACTGCCAGGGATCCAGGGGCAGCCCCAGCTGCTCTGGGCACCTGTGCCAGGGCCTGCCCACCCTGCCAGGAACAATTCCTTCCCAGTATCTCATCTAACCCTGCCCTCTGGCCATTCCCCCTTGTCCTGTCCCTTCAAGCCCTTGTCCAAAGTCCCTCTCCTCTCTCTTGGAGCCTTTTTAGGCACCAAAAGGCTTCAATAAGGTCATCCCAGAGCCTTCTCTTGTCTCTTCTCCAGGATGAGTACCCCCAGCTCTCACCTGGTCTCCTCAGGATTAATACTTAGATAAGTTATTTAAAATGAGAAATTTTACAGACTACTACTTTTTTGCCTTATTTTTTTTGATCAAGGCCAGGGATTACAGTTTCCCGTTGCATTCTGCAGTGTGCCAGTGTGGAGGGAGCCTAGTGCAGTGACGGGGCCACCAGCTCAGCCAGCGCTTGTAAGGATGCTCACAATGCCCGTATTCAGGCAGCTCTTTGACTTCTAAAAGGCCTTTTGAGAGGGGAAATTTCTGTGGCTCTTTGTGGCAAATTACACAAACAAGACATTAGCAATGAGAAAAGTAGCCAGGACTGACATTTTACTGTTTTGCTTATTCCCAGGCAGCTCCTGCTTGACTTGTTCCATGTCCTTGGGATTTCGGCCCACCCTTCAATTTACATCCCACTTTTAATCTGAGCTCAGTCTTCCACCACGTGCTTAAGATGTCACTGTGTCAGTCCGGAGTCTGCAGTAGATCACCAGGCTAATGCTTCAGCCCATCATTTTTTGTTGCACAGATGAGTAAATGGCTGAGGAAGCTCATTTGAGATATTTTCAGACTGTTTCTTTGCCCATGAGACTGGTTTATTCTCCTCTGTGCATAGAGGAGAGGTTACTTTTGGCCATACGTGAAACTTTCCTGTTCTCTAGGGGGTTTTTTAGAGCCCACCATCTTAGCGTGAGGAAATGGGGAGCTTGAAGGCACAGGCTGGGTTTTCACCCAGCCTACTCGACCTGGTACTGGGCTATGTACCAAACACATGAGCCCCCAAAGAGTGGGTTTGTGAGCTTTGGATGGCAGTCTGTAATGAAATCCTCCTGGCTGCTGAGGCAGTTCTAGAAGTGCATTAGCAGGCAGTAAGTGAAGAAAACAAAGTTTGACAGACCAAATTTCCATATGTTCGGAGGCAGCAGCTTGCCAAGGCTGTGTAATTTGCAGTGATTGCATCCAAAACATTCAACTTTATTGTAGGAACAGAATCAAATTGTTTTCCAGACACACTTTTAAAACCCTTGTAGCACTACATATTTCCTCCTGTGCTTTGTTTTGTTTTGTTTTTTTCCCTTTTTGTGACAGTTGCATGAGAACAGCAGCAGTGTTTCAACTTTTTAAAATTTGTTTCTGATCCTACCTTAGTTGCTGTGCTGCTTTTAAAAGGAGAGGGAGATGTGAAAAAGTAAACCATCACTACTCGGAAATATTTTCATGCCATTGCATATGCAAGGGGCAGGGGGGGTGTTCTTGTCTGAAATGATGCATTTTGCAGCTATTGCTGTGAAATTGCATCAATCTGGGCTGTTACAAACAGCAGCTCTTTGTTCCAGCTGGAAATCCTAAACTTGTGTTTAATTTTAATAGCCCTAGTCTTGGCACTGGGCTGAAATAGCGGAGACATTCCTGGCCCTCTGCTGGGGGACACATTACAGCCCGCTGTCTGTTCCCAGTGTTTCAAAATCATAGTGAGAGAGACTAAATGGAAGACTGTCTCTGCTGGTTTTTGTTAAATCAATTATTTTAAGCAGGGAAGCAGTAGAGGAATCCCAACGCTTGAGTGTGACAAGGATTCATCCCAGTAACAAGTTATTAATAGGATGGGGAAGGCAACTTTTGCTTTCTCTGTTTTCATCCCTGGGGATTTAAGGCTGTTCAGGTTGCTGTAACCCAAGGCATAAACTGATGGCTATGATGTACCATGGGTTTTTTCTCCAAAAAGCAAATGTCAGCAGTGCTGCAGGATGGGAAGAACCAAGATTTTTGGGTGAGGTTTGGGATGAAGGAGAGGATAGTTCCCACTCCCCCAATATATTGTGGATCTCTATATGTAATAGGCAGTGGTATGCTTTCCCTAAACTGTTTTTCTAATTTTCAAGGGATTTTCCTCACAGTATGTATTCAATACTGTTGCCTTGCGGGTAAGAGAGTTTCATGTGCTTCTTAAAAACACTAAAAAATAGTTTAGCCTTTTCAGGCACAAAGGGGAGAAGAAGGAACTGGTTTCATCCCAATGGATATAGATGTTTAAGATGACACTTGAGAGAATCACAGGATCATTAAGGTTTGAAATGCATCCTGTAAGTTCATCAAATCCAACCATTCCCCCAGCACTGCTTTAGGCTACCACTGACCCATGTCCACAAGTGACACATTTCTTTAAATCCCTCCAGGGATGGGGATTCCACCACTGCCCTGGGCAGCCTGTGCCAGGGCTGAACACCCCTTTAGGTGAAGAAATTCTCCCTACTATCCAAAAGTTGCAGTCTAAAGCAAGTAAAGGAAATAAACTCAGATATTTGCTTAGCTTACCATAATACACCCACATCTGGGTTGCTTGAATTGAAGTTTTCAGCCACAGGACAGAGCCTGGCTGCATATGGTGGGCAGTGTTTCAGTTCTGTATTTTAATGTGTTGCTTGGGCTCTACAGAAATTGCACAGTATTTAATCAGCACCAGCACATGTGGTCTGTTGGGGAAGTAGTTATTACTCTTCTTGATAACTTTATGGTGCTTTAAAACATCATTTTTCGTTCTGAAAAAAGAAGATGTTTTAATTGCTGAACGGGAATATCCTGTCAGCAGTCTGATTTAACTTACTTCAGAAGAATTGAAATAACTTTGTTTAGATGGAATTAACACAGGTGCTGAGATTGTTGTGGGCTCATTGGATTGAACAAGTGAACACACATTGTGTGTCTCTGTCTTGAACCATCAGTCCTGTCTCCCAGGAGCTGCTGTGCAGAGTGCAGCATTTTGCCCAGGGCCTTTGACTGTGGTGGATTTAAGAGAAAATTAATTTCTCCAGCCACAATTTTTCCCCAGTTCCAAGCTACTCCCTGTAAATCCTCAATGCCTTTGTTGGAAAATACTGTGGATGCGACAGATGCTTTCACAATGAGCCTGTGGGTGATCCAGAATTGTGTTTTCTTTTCACCTTCCGTAACGGAAAGATTTTTGTGTGAGATAGACATCCATTTCCAAACTCTGCTTTCCCCTATGGCGTGGATGTTGATGTTCTTCCCACATCTCCCATTCCAGTGCGCTTCGCACCCTACAGACCCCCTGACATCTCCCTGAAGCCGCTGCTCTTTGAGGTGCCCAGCATCACCACCGAGTCTGTGTTTGTGGGCCGCGACTGGGTGTTCCACGAGATCGATGCACAGCTGCAGAGCTCGAACGCCAGCGTCAACCGTGGGGTGGTGATCGTCGGGAACATCGGCTTCGGCAAAACTGCCATCATCTCCAGGCTGGTTGCACTCAGCTGCCATGGCACGAGGATGAGGCAGATTGCTTCAGATAGCCCCCACGCCTCTCCAAAACGTAAGCACAGCAGCACATGGGTCTCCAAAACTCAGAGAGCTTTTACGTCAGCTTTTAGAGTGGTCTGGGGTGAAATAACCCCATTTCTCTTCAGGTCCAAGAAATCAGCTTAGTCTTTGTTGTCAAGCAAAGGAAGGACATTTGAGAAATATGTCATAGAAGCCCTGAATAGTTTGGATTGGAAAGGACTTCAGAGATTATCTTGTTCCAACTCCCTGCCATAAGGCAGAGACACCTTCCACTATCCCAGGTTGCTCTAAGCCTCATCCAGCCTGGCCTTGGACACTTCCAGAGATGGGGCAGCCACGGCTTCCCTGGGCAACCTGTGCCAGGGCATCTCCACCCTCACAGGAAACAATTCCTTCCTGATACCTAATCTAAATCTACCTTCCTTCAGTTTGAGGCCCTTCCCTCTTGTCCTATCACTCCATACCCTTGTATAAGGTCCCTCTTCAGCTCTCTTTGAGTCCCTCTACCTACTGCTACAGGCGGCTTTTTTACTGTTCCTAAGTTACCTTTTGAAGAGTCAGAGTAGTCTGTCTGTGACTTGTCTGGCTTAGAAACATCACAAACTTTCTCTGCCTGGGAACATTCCAATTTTAGAATCACAGAATCACAGAATGGTTTGGGTTTGAAGGGACCTTTAAAGGTCATGTAGTCCAATCCCCCTGCTCATGACATCTCCAGCCAGATCAGGCAACTAGTATTCTGTGATGATGAATCCATGCCCCCTGCATTCTTTTTCCCATACGGATTGTTTATCTCATTGAATAATGGTATAAATATTCCATGCAGGTCATGAGCCCATGTAGGCTCAAGACCCAAGATTGCTCTACCTCCTCTGGACCTATCCAATTCCCATCTCTACGCGCTGACAGGTTTGCAGGTGGAGATGACAACATTTTAAAGTCACTCAGCTCTCAGTAAGTGAGTAAGACAGGACTGAAAATACTGAGTTAGGTACCTGAAGGTATCTTTAAGGGTGTAGGTCACTGTATGTCAGTGAATGTGTAGTTAAATCTGTTTACTGAAATGCTGTGCTCTTGCCTTGTTGGAAGAACTGAAATGTTGGCATGTTGAACAGTATTACTTGTCAGAGTAATAATGAACAATGTGTAGTGAAAGGCAGGGCTTGTTTCTACATTCTAACTGGAGCTCTGCAGTGCACCAGCTGTGAGTGTGTATCCCCAATCTGCTTAGGGTGGTAGTGAACATTTAAGAGATGACTGTGCTTAACTCCTTCTGGACTAAAAGCTGGATTTCTCATAGGAGGTGTCCTGTACCCTTAGTTCATAGATGATGAAGATCCTTGATCTCACCTAATACTTTGTTTAGTTCACTGTGGTGTGTCCATGGAGTTGAAAGCTGAATGATTCCTCAGTGTTAGTTATTAGGATGGAAACTTTCAGAATCAATAATTAATTTGACTTGATTTCCTAAAGAGATCACAAGTACTAGTCTAGCTGTAGAAGATAATAACTATTCTGCAAAATCCTTGAGGGTCCCTTCCAATTCAGGATATTCTATGATACATCTCTGATTTTGTGCTAAGTTTCTTTGTCATTTTTTTTCCACATGCCAAAAAAAAAAATCTATTCTGCTTATTAAAACTGTGCTAATTAATACGTGCTAATCAGGTGGTCTGACACTGGTACAGCGGTTGTGCAATTAAACTGGCTTCAATAGAGCCTCATAGTTCTAATTCCTCTCTCAGAAAATGAATACAGGTGACAGTGGTGTTATGCTCAGAATCAAGAGTGTGCTTCATTCTAACACATTCAGGGTTTAATTCTGGAGGCAGCAGTCATCCTCCTCTGTTGTTTGCCATTAAATGGGTCATTGTTTGCATGATTATTTCCCATCAAGCTCAGGCATGCACTGCAGCAACCCAGTCCAGGAGAATCCTCTGCCAGCACAGACTGTACTTTGGAATGCTGCTGTTCTTAAAATAATAAATAATTAGACATCGCCAAGTGCTGCATGTTGTGATGTCATTCAAAAATCCTTCATATGAGTACTTAGGAGGGAAAATAAAAATCCTTTGAGAAAGATATCCACAAAGGCCAGGTGGATGAGCTTCTGTAGCAATCTGCTGGTAAAGGAAATTTCTGCTTTACCAGGAAAAAGAAGCAGCTAAAATGCGCTAGAACACAGGTAAACTTGCCAGAGATGATTCCAGGGTAATTTATTATTTGCTTGTGAGCCTTTTCCAGATCCTTGTGCTGCTCCTGCTCCTCTCCTCCTGATCAAATTAATGGGCTTCAGATGGCTGTATTAGCTGGGGCTCTTAATTCATTTATGTTAGAAAATAGGCCTGTAATTCAGAAAAATGTGCTGTCTGTGCTGAAGGAGGACTTGGAACTAAATTTACCAGCGATTGTTCATAACAAGGGAAGGTCTGCGGGCAGAAGTGCAGAGCAGGAGAGCTTTGCACTGAAATCCACCAGACCTGAAGACAGAGCCTGCCAGAGGGCCCAGTTTGCTGCATTATTGTCATAATTTAGAAGTCAGTGAAATTACAGTGGGGAAGATGAATAAGACAGGATCAAGGCTTTTTCTTTTTTCTTCCTTTCCTGCTTCCAAAAGAAGTTTCTTGAGAAGCCTCTGGCCTGGATATCCCTGAAATCCCAACCACAGTATTTGTGGGAAGTATTTTAACTGCCATACATAGGAAGCAGCAGCTGCCTGGTTTGTAATAATAACGTTAGCAGTCGTCCTAACCTCTTTCCTTGGACAGATGTGGATGCCAACCGAGAGCTGCCCTTGGCCCAGCCGCCTTCTGCCCACCCGTCCATCACGAGCGGGAGCTGTCCTGGGACCCCCGAGATGCGCCGGCGCCAGGAGGAGGCCATGCGGAGATTGGCCTCACAGGTACACAAACACCCAGCTCAGGGCTTTTCCTTGGGAAAATGGCAGTTTTAATGGGGGTCCTTGGAAGTTCTCCTGCTTGATGTCACTTGGAAAATCCGTGTGTTCAAATGCTCACTTTGGGATCTGAGAGAGACAGACTTCTGGAAGGAGTTTATTACCCAGGAAAGTTCTTTCTCAAAAGCGAAACTCCCAGTGCATCAAACACACTCCCCTGTTACTCTTGAGGGTTTGTCTTTCACAGCCACCATACTTTCTCATTACAAATGTTAGGATATGACACAATTACTGAAATAATTGTGTTTTTTCTTCAACACTGAGAACAAAATTGCCCAGTGTTTTGTTTGAAAAGGGCAGGTACTGTACCTGGGGAAAGCACAAGCTGAGGGTAAATGCTGTGTGTGCACTTGGGATTTTTTCAGAAAATTCTCCAAAGTAGACCATAGCCTTTGGAACAATACACAAATTACTTGCTGTTATGGCAGGAGAGGTTTATATGGAACACTGTCAATTATGTACATGAGATTTACACCTTAAATTTTATTGTGTTACTGAGATTTAACCCTAACTCTGTGGTAGTGGGAAGGTGCCATTCTATTGCTTTGAAATCCAAGGAGTTTGGTCTTGCTCTTCCTCCACCTTTTGGGAAGATGGGAGCAGTTAATGCTTTCCTGTCACCTGCTCCCACTTCGGAGAGGAAAATAGCAAGAGAAGTCTCTGTTTTAAGTTATTACCAGGATGTGTTTTGCTTAGCTTTTTGTGCCAGATACTGTCTTGTCCTGTCTGCTTTCCTGCTGCACCCAGATGGCCAAGCAGGGAGCATGTGCTGCATAAATAAATACTAAGATTTGATACTCTCCCCTTCCACATGGAGTTCTTGAAAGGAATGCAATGCCCAGGTCTGTTTTTGTTCAGAATGCATTAGTCATTGTATTCTTTGCAAATCTGAAGTTCTGCAGACTACCAGAAAGGGCAGTAAAGTGTGCTATCTCTGCTTAAAATGCCTCATATATCACGTCCCCTGAGTCCTTAAGTCATCCTGCTGGGTATGTAATTGATAAATGGATGCCGTTTTAGCTCCTGGAAAAGGTAAAGAATATGGATCTTTCAAACACTGTGTCACATCCACAACATAGATCACTCTCTGAAGTGTTTTTTGACATCTCTTATCACTGGAGAAAGAGCTAAAAACAACCCTTACAGCCAAAATTAAAATAAAAATAGGTTGTTGTACCTTGACTGCAGACTCTTTAGGAAGGATTTTAAGGTCCTGCTCATCCTTTAGCCACTTTTTTTTTTTGTAGAGTAAATCCAGTGTGTTGCTGCCAGAACACAACAGCTGAGGTTGGGAGATGTGCTGCCCATTGTGTCTGCAGCAGGATTACCCACTGGGAGCAAGGTCGTTAATCTCCCAGTAAATCTCCACTACTGTAAATGAAGGCAGATTCTAGAAATAACAGTCCCCAGCTTCCAGACATCAGGCCTTGATGAACGGATCAATGCCAAGGCTGATGAGCTGACCTTAGAGCGCTTGGAATCGCTTCTTATGCCCAAATTGCTGACACAGCACATGGAATTTGCAAAAAGCTCCATGGTGTTCAGCAAACAGTTCCTGGGATGACTCAGAGCAGCAGCACGGCTTGATTCAGCACTGGGAGGCCTTGGGTCTCTTCCTAGCATTGCTGTTACCCTTTCTGGGATCCTTGGAGACCAGCATCTCATCTGCCTCACTCCCGTTCCCTGGCTCATAAAAGAAAAGTGATCTCTGCAGGTAATAGTCCTTGGATAAATGATGCTGGAAGGGACATGTAACCAGGTGTTAGTGGTTTGTTATTTAGGAAGAGTGGGTGACTTCCAGGTGTGTTGGATGAAGACATGCATTGAAATAAAGCACATGCTTAAATCCTCACTCAAAGCTTTATTTCCTGCCCTGAATGCAAGTTGTTCTGAAAAAATATGAGATCTTTTTGTTTTGTTCAATTTTGTAATCAATTTTTTTGAGCTCCATGTTCTTTTTTATTCTTTGTCATAAACAGCAGTTTGGTTTACTGCATCAAAACCTTTTCCAGAAGGGCTGTGCTGCACACAACAGACAGAGAGTTTGATGGATTATCAAGCCTCAGGAAGAAAAATAAAGACAAATAAAATGGTTAAGGATGTTTGTCAAACTGATAGCTGGGAGTCACGTGCGTAGTGCACTTGTAGTGGCCTCCTGGGTAGCACAACTCAGCATCGCACATCGACATCCTTGCTGTCAACCCCAGATGAATTGATTGGCTTGGAAAGAGCTGTTCCAGGTGATGTCCTCCTTGATAAAACGAACACTCCCTGTCCTTCCACAGCTGTGGGGTTCGATGTCTCTGAGTGACACTGGGGGAAAAAGGATTACTGACCTGGCAACAGAATTGGAAATCCCTTAAAATAACAGCATGGAGCTCTTTGTTGTGCATGCAGTCGCCTCCTTCAGAAATTTGATCACGCATATCTGTCTTGCCTTTTGAGGCATCATGGGAATTTTGAGGCATTGAAAATGCTGAACTCTTAGCTGAGGAAAACCACCAAATGGCTAGTAGACAATAGTAAAAATAGTTGGTTAAAATAATTCTGCTTCTAAATATGAATGTCTGATGCCACATTCTCCAACAGGAGTTCATGGGTTTAGTTTAGGAAAAACCTTCATATAGATAAGTGTTGTAATGCAGTTAAGCTTAAGGCTTTCCAAAGTCTAACACAAAAAAGAAAAGAAGGAGAAAAAAGACTGGAATGCCCTTTAGCACTGGAGGAGGGGGAAAGGAACAGCATTTTCCTATGTCAGTAGCTATGGAATAAAAAAAGAGTTGCTGATGCTCTCCTTAAATAGGTTTTGTGTAACTGGCTGAAGGAAAAAGAGCCAAAGGAAGGGAAAAACCCTTCGGTCAATCTGGATGGAAAAGTATTTCTTGGATGTGTGTGTTTTATAGTCACGTTTACACTGAAGTCAGAATTGAAGTACAGAAGAAAGTGTTGACAGTGATGGACAACCACAATTGTCAGGGTTATTTTAGGAGCTAGATGAACCATATGTGAGGAGCTGGATAAAGCTGTGTGCAGATGTTCCACCTCTGCCTGCACTGAGCAGAGCAGGATGTTCTCAGATTGGGCTGAGGTCACTGTGCTAGAGAATTGCAGATCGTTACAAAAGCAGATTAATAATATACAAACAGTCTTAGGTAATGGTTGGCACAAGCTCTAGAATGCTGGTGGGAATCTCGTTGTCCTCTCACCCACTCCCTTCCCTCTGCAAATGTCACTTATCCCAGTATTCAGAAGTTATGTATCTATGATGACAGAAATGAAAGGTGAACAAACAGTTGCTTTTCCTGCTCTGGATTACTCAGGGTTGCACTTTTCTGCCTGGTTTCTGTACAGTAAATTCTTGGAGGCAAAGTTTGCATTTAGCCCTTAATGTCAGAGATGAACAAATCATTAATTTTAGAGCTAAGGAACTGCTGACTGGCAAGCAGGAGCTCAACTCGGTCCTGCCATGCTGACCTTCCCTTTTCCCTGAAGGTCTTTATCCTTTATCCTTTACTCACAGAGGATTTTTAATGGATTGGCTACCCAGTTTTAACTAATATGTTGAACAGCTTTATTCTTTGGGTTTCTGGATGCTGTGTGGCTTGTGGTAGCAGCACTTAAACAAATGGACCTGAAACCCAGCTCAGCTGCACTAATGGGTCATACCCTGTGCAGAGCAGCTGGTGGAGGAGCTGCACATCCATTGCATTAGTGCATTTTGCTGATGCTGAACACAGCTGGTGGCACCAGAGGCTCTTCTCCCATTCCTCCAAGCCATATTCAAAGCATCACTAGCATTGCTGCAGGCAAAAAAAAAGAGTGCTCCTACCTTACACAGAGGTGGAGGCATTCATTGCTGCTGAACCTCGATGCCCTGGGCCACTAATGAGTTTCAAAGGGCTTTTTCCAGCATACTCAGCTATGTAAAAGTAATGCACATTCCCAATAAACTGGGTCACCATGTGCCACATCCTGGGTCACAGTCATGTGCAGTGCTGACGGCCATTTCCATTAGCACAGCCAGCGTTGTGCCTGGCATGTGGCATAGTGGCAGGTCAAAGTGTTACACTGCATTTATTTGAAGCTATTTTGTATGGGTTAAAAAAAAAAATCTTGTTAAAGGTTAAAATACAATGTTGAAGCCCTTTAGGAGCACTGGAGGAAGTGGGGTGTTGCTGTGGGCTCGGGAGAGGTTGGTCCAAGGGGGGTTAGCTGTCCTTGCACAACATGCTTCTAGAAGGAAGCCAAGACAAGCCACAAAGGAGGTGTGATGGCAAAGGAATGCTGCCTAAATAGAGTAGATTCTGTTTCAGAGGCAGTGCTGGAGAACTGCTTGAAATTGGCCTATGCTAATAATTAAAAATAACTTCTTTCTCTTGAGCCATCTCCATACCCTCCCACTCTTCTGATATTCATGCTGTCCTTCCAGCCTTTCCCATTACTGTCATCTTCTCCCTCTCCTGCCATGCCACTTGTTCCCCATCTCTTTCTTTTCTTTTCCTGCCTCACAGTTCAGTCCCTTCTCACTCTCTTTACTTGATGACTGATACACAAACCTTTTTGTGTCTCATTTTTTCCCTCGCCTTTGCCCTCTCACCCTCTTCCTCTTGCTCCATTCATGTGCCTCTTGCCCACTCATCCACCAGCATTTTCCATTTTCCTTGGAATAGCTGTTTTGCTTTTAACGTCCTTCATCCAGCAACTCTTTCCTTTGCACAGCAGGAAGGTGAAGATTACATGAGGCTGGATGAAGGCAGACTTGGGATGTGATTGTGGCAAAAAAGAGAGAGTAACAATGACTGGTGTTGGAAGGGCTGGGAGAAGAGACTCCTGAAGACCTACTGGGTTAAACATCTAGAGAGAATATAAATAATGTCTTCATCATTCTGCTTTGGCAGTTACAAAGATGAAGTTTATGTTCTTTCAGAGTAAATGAGTGTTTTGAGGCTCCCTGATCCCACTTTAGGAGGAAATGGGGTCGTGTTGGCTGTGGTCCGTTCACTGTGCTCTCTGTCCCCACATCTGGTGTTCCTCAAGTCTTGTAACACATAATTAATTTTTAGAAAAATGAGCTACCAAGAAGCTCATGATAAATATGCTATTTTAGTGTATCCAGCTGGACTTCACATATCATTTTAGGAGAGGGGGGTGGTCCTTGGAAGTAAAATACTCATCATACAAGTGTTAACTATTTTGCAGCTCCTTTTCAAGCAAGAGAGGAAACTATTTTTCCAGACATTTGATATTCAGTACAAAAACCATAACACCTTGGTTTCTCAGTATGGAGTCACTCAACTCCATTTTCAGCCCTTAGAAAAATTACATGAGCTGGTACTTGGAGCACTCGACTGGATGTAGGTATTACTTTTCCCATCCTTTGTTGTAACCCACTTCTTGCTTTAGGGTTGCTTACAGGCCTTTTGTGCTTTGCAATCCAGTGGTTTGAATTTAGTCAAACTTCAAAATGAGGAAATCATTTAACAAGCCTGATAGCTGAAATAAAGGTTGAAAAGTTTTGGAAGTCTAATTTAATGTTTATAGAATTTAGTGCAATGGGATGACAAAGATCAAATTGAAACTGTGGTTAGAAAAATTGTCTTAAATTGTATCAGACACAAATAACAATTTGCTGAACACAACATCCAGGCATGCCCATACTTTTGAAACCATATGATGTTCCCTGGTGGTTTCACTTACTTTATTATTATTATTTTATTTAGATAAATGTTTAACTCAAGGCTTTGTTTATAATATGGCATGGTTGGAACTTATTCAAGTATTATTTTAAAGCAAAATAGTTGGATCTGTGGAAAATTAAGCTTTTATTGAGAGAGAGAGAGCACACCTTTTCCAGTGAAAAGTTAATTTCCAGGATATACAAGGAGTTTTTTTGGGTTTTTTTTTGGTTTTTGGCTTATCCAGTCAAGAAAAAGGAGGAGAGATCAAAATTTCCTCCAAATCATGATTAGAGCAGAGAGTGGTCATTTCAGATGCTGAGCAAAGTCTAGATGTGGTCTCATATATCTTAGAAGAGCATCCTTAGCAGTGAAGCTGGTAATCCATCCCTCTTCCCAGAGAAATTAACCTTGAACGATTAATGAAGTATTTAAAGTGAAATAATTGGAAAGGGACCTTTCCCAGAGCATTACTGGCATTCAGAAAATACAGGATAGAAAGAACAGTTTGAACCTGTTTGGAGTGAGTCCCATCCACACCAGCCGCTGGCCATCCTGGAGCTCTTGCACTCACTTCTCACATTAAGCTGGTCTCATTCCCAAGGCTGGAACAGGCTTGGAAACCTTGAAAAGTTTTAGAGCATGAGATACCTGTTTCCCACTCAGCTCCATGTACGTGAGTGTGGTGGTTTTTAGTACTAGCTAAAAATCACCAGAGTACTTACTCATCTTTTGCTGTGAGATATGGATTAGGAGAAGGGCAAAGCAGGCTTAAAACTTAAAAGGAATAAAGAAAGTTTATTAACAGAACTACAGGAATAAGAAACCAGAATAAAACCTCCAGAAACCTTTTCTTCTCCCACCCAACCTTTTTTCCTTTCCCAACCGACACCATAGAGACAAAACTTGAGATGTTAAAGCAGTACCAACTATACAATAGTCTTTTCATCAGTCTCTGTAGAGAGAGGAGTTTTCTCTTGTCATTCCACGGAGAGTTCTCCACAAGAAAAATGGTTTTCTTGTGACTTTTCATTTCTATGCCTGACAGACACCTGGAAAAAAACCTCTGCCATCATGTTTTCCTCCCATTTTCACACCACTCAGAGGTGTGTTCATGGGCCATGAACACAAGAGGTATTATTTTAAGGATGAGTTATTCATTAAAAGAGACTTTATTTTTGTGTCTACACACCAATTGCATAGGAAATCAGAGTAACTTGTTTTAGTGGAACCTGATACCAAGGAATGGCACCTTCCCAACTTCATTCTGTGAAATGCACAAGTTATAATCCCCAAATAAATAGAATTGATGAAAAGAAATCATTACCTTTTTAATAATTGCTTTACATAGTGCTGTTCTCTAAGGGAATTCATTATATTTTAACTGGCTGGTAGGAAGAATTCTTTAAGGAATTTAGAGGTATCCATTAAAGCTTAAATACATGTATTAGGGTTTGATGCTTGAAATAACAGCCCAGCTTTCTCATCACTGCATGTGTCACACCTCGTTTTGACTGGGAAAGGAAATTACTGCATTATACCCCGTTGGTAATTTCAAATTGAAAATTAAAAGCCAGTGCTGAACCAGCAATGGGTGAGGACCTCACAGCCTGGTGTGTTCATTCCTTGGTACCATCCTTCACTGCCCTGGCCACCCTCCAATCCAAGGGTTAGGTATTGCAGGTGGAAAGACAGAAAGCCTTCATTGTGTCCAAAGCCATGGGCACATTTCATCCCAGCTGCCCCGAGGAGCTTTTCTTTTGCACAGTGTTCTCAGCTATATTGTCCTTCTCAAGTTCAGAAATGCTGTTTTGCAACATTCTGTGCTACAGTGCTCCAGGGCAGTGGTGGTTTTGGTACAGAACTGCTCCCACCTGCCTTGCTGGGATATTTTTGGATACTCTGTGATATTTGAAAAGAAAACGCAGTCCAGAATGGGAGCTGGAGAAAAGCTTTGTGCCCTGGCAGAGGCTCATTCCAAATGAGCAGGCAGTGCCTGAGGCTGAAGGTGTCAAGGGAGCAGGAGAAGCTGGGCTGGAGTGGTGCCAGAGCAGCTTTCCAAGGGAATCTCAGGCAGAGACAGATTTTTGAGGGCCTTTTTTATATTGCAAAAGAAAATATGAAAGTTGGCAGCATGGCCTGAGACGGTATCACTGGTTTTCTGAATAAGCTCAAGAAAACAATCACAAGTTATTACTGGCACCAAGTCCTTAACTACTGTCACTGACCATCTCTGCAAACAGCTACAGCTTAATTCCGTTTATTCCTCAAGTGGGAGGTCCAGTCATTTTTCAGGATCAGTGCCTGTTTTTACCAACTGATTTTTCTGGATTCTTGTCATGGGTAGTTAACACTCATTGCTCTTAAAGATTTCACCTGCCAGAACAGATCAAACTCGCCAAAGGAAAAACCCAACTGTCCTGACGTGGCTCTGATGAAGACACAGAGCTTTTCATTCTTTTCTCTTTTCTAGGTTGTAGCTTATCACTACTGCCAGGCTGACAACGCATACACCTGCCTGGTGCCCGAGTTTGTGCACAACGTGGCCGCCCTGCTCTGCCGCTCGCCGCAGTTCGTCGCGTACCGGGAGCAGCTGCTGCGTGAGCCCCACCTGCAGAGTCTGCTCAGCCTCCGCTCCTGTGTGCAGGACCCCATGGCCTCCTTCCGTAGGGGGGTCCTGGAGCCCCTGGAGAACCTGCACAAAGGTACTGATGTTCCCTGTGCTTGCCCCAACCTCCCATGCACCTCTTTTTATTGTGATTCTAAAAATGACATTGGATCTGGGTGTTTAAACAAAGCAATGGATTAATCTGTCTGAATCACTTCTCGAGCTGAAGAGAAGAGGTGGGATCTGGAGAAGCTAAGAAGACTGAGAATCATGGAATGGTTTGTGTTGGAAAGGACCTTAAAGCCCACCTAGTGCCACCACTGCCAGGGATCCAGGGGCAGCCACAGCTGCTCTGGGCACCCTGTGCCAGGGCCTGCCCACCCTCATAGGGAAGAATTTGTTCCCAGTATGCCACTTGGCTTCTTTCATATCCCAAACATGTCCTTGTAGTTCTCAAGGTGAAAACAAGCAACCAGTTCCATTCACAGTACTCCTTACAGCAACATGTTCTGATTTATTTGTGTAGGGGTGACTTTTTTTCCCTTTCCCTGCCACTATTTAGCTTTGGAAGCTTTCACCAAATGACTGCTATCATAAAAGTCCATAGACACCCTATGTAAAGCTTCTGGGGGAGCTGGTTACAAGCCTTATACTGATAACAGGTGTAGAGCTTTTTCTAATACAGCATTGATTTTGTCTTCTTTTCTTTCTCCCCTCTTCAAGTTATAACTAATTCATTGTGACAGTCACTAAATTTAAGATCTTTCTTGTTGCCATGAAAACTGTCAGAGCATTGCAGAGTTCAAGACTGTTGTCCTTCAGAATCATGTTTATTACTGTGCCTTTGCTGCATCTTGGCTACAAAAATAGTTCAGATAATTTTGTTACCACCCTACACATTACAGTGTAAAATCCAACATGAAATTGAGGCAACTTCTGCCAGATTCAAAGCCCTGATGTTCAAATCAGCTCTTCAAAAATGTGTCCAAGCTCTGAGCAGCAGCATCTGGATCCAACCTGCCCAGTTCCACCAGGCACAAAGCATATGTAAAGCCAGCACAGCATGACAGCAGTGGGTTTTCCTGGCATGGAGAAATGTCATTGTGGAAAGAGTGTGGTTGCTCTTTACTATCATCACTCTTGGCAAAAAGAAAAAGGATTGAGGAACTACTGCTCTAAAGGAAAATAATTCCTGTTTATTACAGTAGCTCCTTGGGAAATGTTTCAGCTCTTGAATTCAGAATGTTTCGAAGGATTCTTATAGTTCTTCTCAAGGAGTTTGACCCCTCTCTGGCCCTAAGTTCTGAGAAGTGGAAAAATTTTATATTAAGCCTTTTTTTTTTCCTTTCCTCTTGGGTTCTGCACTCAACACAGCTCCAACAGAGCCACTGACCAGGACTCACAGATTTCAAACCTCCTGGTTGAAGTGCTGGCAAGCTAATTTGCACCAAGTGTTTTCTAACAAGATGAACAGTATCTGGAAACTGGTTCTAAAATATATAATATTTAAGACTCTCTAAATATATCAGCAGGCCTTTTACAAGGTGCTGTTGAAGCTTTCGTGCTACAGGGGCAACGCTGTTGCACAGGTGTTAACGGTGAGCATCGCTGAGGAAGTATGCTTCTCAAATACATATTTAATGTCAAAGAATCTAAATAACATGTAGGAGAACAAAGTTCTAATTCTTCCCCTACTCCCTGCTTTCTCCTCTCTCCCTTAGGCTTTATGAGGAACATGAGATATGGGTATAAAATTCAGGCATTACATTCACTCCAAGATTTCAGAGAGGAATAAAGTATATTTTCTAGTGTACCCAAAAATCTTACTGAGAAGTTAACTGAAAAAGCAGCTAGGGTAATTTTAGTGCAAAATACGTTTTTGTCATGTTTACAGTGCAGTAGGAAATAAATGCAACAGTGTTGACATAAGGCAAGGACAAGATGCTCAGCAGTCCCAAATACACAGTGTTTGCTCATGTCTGTTCTCCCTGGAATACCACAGGGACCACTGGCTCTCATCGTCAGTGAATATTCTGTGCTGGGGTTTTACAGAAAAGTTTCTGGTGCAATTTTTAAGTCAAAGAGAAAAACTCACCTGCTGCTGGGAATATTGAGCTTTTTGAAAGCAGGAGTTTATCTATGGTACTTTACAGATTATGAGTCTGTAGTGTGACTGCTGTATGTGAATAGCATATGCCATCAATAGACTCAAATTTCACATTTTACACCTGGTTTTGGGTCTTTTTAGGCAAAATTGCCTTTGAGAAGAAAACCCCTTGAGCTTAAGAAACAAGTCCAAAAGTATCTCTACCATTAGTTGTAACACCATACTCAGCTCTCAGTGTCTGACATAGAAAAAATGACTGCACTGTCAGCATCACCTGGGTTACTATATTCTCCAGCAGCAAAAAAATCCTGTTTAAACAGTCCATGATTTACTTCTTGTAGGATTTTCAAGGCCAGGTTAGAACAACCTTGGTCTAGTGGAAGATGTCCCTTTCCCCAGCTGGAGGATGCAACAAGATGACCTGTAAAGGTCAATATGCAATTAATGCATCATTAAAAAAGTGCTGCTACTGTGGGTGTTTTCTTCTTTGGCAATACCTGGTCATGGTTTAAAACTCTGTAGTGATGTTGCAGTACATTATGGTTGAGTGTCTATAGCCTTTCCAATGAATACTTTTTCTCTTTCCATCAGAGAGGAAGATCCCTGATGAAGATTTCATTATATTAATTGATGGTTTAAATGAGGCTGAGTTTCACAAGCCAGATTATGGAGATACCATAGTATCGTTCCTGAGCAAAATGATTGGAAAATTCCCTTCCTGGCTGAAGCTGGTAGTGACAGTCAGGACAAGTCTACAGGTATGTTGAGACCCAAAAGAGGGATAAACTGTGTCATTGTCATGATGGACTTTAGTAAACAAGATCTTACTGGATATTCTGGATTTTCTCAAGACCCTTTATTTCAGGTTATCCTTTTGGCTTTTTTATTCTTGGATTTACATCCATGTCCCCAGGCTCACCCTACAGCTTTGGAAGAGTCTAATCCATCAGAACTTATTCATGTCCGAAAATGTTCATCAGCAAACAGTTCAGATCATTTCATGAGACAGCTCACATGCTAATAAGCCCCAACTCATTAGGAAGGCAGGGCCTGGTGTCTGTCAGCCTGTGCAGCCAAAGAAGATCCTCAGCTCCATGTGGAAGGGCAAAGGAATTGGGATCTTCATTCCTTTCAGTGTGACCCAAAGCATGATGATTTCAGTCTGATTAGGCCAAGACGTTACTCAGCTCAAGACTGTGGTGGTGAGCAGGTGTGGAAGCTCAGCAGGCAGCTGAGTCTGGTTCCAGCCCCATCAGGGCAGCCAGCCCCCACATAGTCCTTGTCACTGGGAATGACAGCTCCTTCCCAAGATCCAGGAGAGCACAGTCTATTTGCTGTTCAGTGCTGGGGTCCATTTTTTTGCTCAGTAATGGAGTAAATTAAATATCATTTGGAGGAAATATTTTTGTAATTTTAAGTAAATTGCATCCTGATGGCTTGAATTCCTCATTTAATTAGGGCTTTTGTATCCCCAAAGTCTTCACTGCAGCTTAAGTTTGCTTAAGTCTGCTCTCCCTCTATTTTGCTGGAGAGTTTATGGCTTTTCTGGAGCTAACCTTATACAGATGTGTTCCATCACTTCACTTCTCCTCTCCTCACAGAAGCTGAGAGCACATGAGGCAAGAGTTTCTTTGGAGAGGCCTTTGATGATCTTTGGTTTATGCTGAATCTGGGAGTTCAGTAGATGAGCGTTCCCTGAGCGCAGCATCCTGCAGCAGACAGACACAGTTGCTTTGCACTGGAAAATACTCACTATTATCTGTCCTGATGTTTCCGTTCATCTGTGGATGTGGAATGCAGAAGGATGCTCCCAGGGAGGTTCCTGGTCTCAGCTTCAGCAAGTTTCTTGTGGCCTCAGATCTGTCATCTGGATGTCCATTCCCTCTGAAAGGACAGCAGAAAGGATGGGAGGTGAATCTGTTGGGAGGGATAGGAATAACAAGGACACTGCTCTGTCTGAATTTACCAGCCCTTTGCATGGATGTACTGTTAAAAACTTATTTCAGCCATGTTTCACACACAACCTGCCTGATTATAGATGAGAAAGTGAGGCCCTGTGGGCACAAACTACTGTTTGTGTTCTTGCCCTGATGGAAGGTCTTAAAGGAGTCTCAAAGGTGCTATTGTAATAGAAATTTAATTTACTTAACGAATAGTAAAACACTGCCAGCATGAGTATCTTTTTTGTCTTTCTTTCTTTGTAGGAAATAATTAAGCTGTTGCCCTTCCACAGAATATTTTTGGATAGACTGGAAGAGAATGAAGCCATTGACCAGGATCTGCAGTCATACATCCTTCATCGGATACACAGCAGCTCGGAGATCCAGAACAACATCTCGCTCAACGGCAAAATGGACAACACTACATTTGGCAAACTCAGTTCTCACCTCAAGACCTTGAGTCAAGGGTCCTACCTATACCTGAAACTTACTTTTGATCTCATAGAGAAAGGATACCTAGTTCTAAAAAGCTCCAGCTACAAGGTGGTCCCGGTGTCCCTGTCCGAAGTGTACCTGTTGCAGTGCAATATGAAGTTCCCAACACAGTCTTCCTTTGATCGGGTCATGCCTCTCTTGAACGTAGCAGTGGCTTCTCTGCACCCATTAACAGATGAACATATTTTTCAGGCCATTAATGCAGGTAACATTGAGGGCACTTTGGAGTGGGAGGACTTTCAGCAGAGGATGGAGAACCTTTCTATGTTTCTTATCAAACGTAGAGACATGACGCGAATGTTTGTTCATCCCTCTTTCCGAGAATGGCTTATTTGGAGAGAAGAAGGTGAAAAAACCAAGTTTCTTTGTGATCCAAGGTAAGCAAATGCTCTGAGAAATCGGTGCTTACCAATGTGTTACTCTGCACTGTTATGTGAATAATTTTATTTTCCAAGGTTGCACGTGGCTGCAGTTAGCTAACTAACTAGCTAGCTAGCTTTGTGGTCTTGCCCTGAAGGGCAAAGCTAGCTTTGCTCTGTGTACACTACAGGTCTCTACATTCTGTCCTGATCACCTGAGCTCTTTATGCTGTTTATGGAAAGAAACAAGCATCTCTGGGCACACACCTGAGTTGGCAAACCTAACAGTCATCTTTAGGATGACATGAGCTGTCTGATGAGCTGACTGATGGCTCAGTCCTGGAGAAGGGGAATCATCATCCCTTTCTCCAAAGGTTTCAAAAGCACAGGAAGTGGAAGATAAGAAGTGGAAAGACGGGTAGTGTGGATACATCTTCTTCAGCTGCTTCTATTTCAAGTTGTGCTTCTTGAAGTCCTACTAAATGTTTTGCTGAAAACAAAATAAAGAGCATAATTGTTCTGTAGTGATATTGGACTGTAAATGCATCTGTAATCTATCCTGACAGAAGCTGAGTTCCTGGCTTAGCTCACAGGGAACAGAATTTAATCACAGTTAGATTTATATTCTCTAAGCCAAATTATCAGCTTTACTTTTGTTTCTAGTGACAAGTGGAAACGGGCAATCGGATTCTAATTCTTGTAGTTTGTAAGTTTTGATCCATTTTTCTGCACATTTCTTAAAATATGATTATAATAATTAGGGAAACAGATTCAAGGATGTGTCAGTGACTTGATGGTCAGTCTGAGGACAATCTCATAGTATCTGCTGGATCTGGAAAGCTGCTGACTGATTAAGGCAGCTGTGGCTGTTAGTGGTGTCAGAGTAATTTACCACTTTAAATTTTGAGGTAAACGGGCTGTAGAAAAATACCAAATAGCTTCTCTCATTAGGCATCTTCTTGTTTTTAGTGGGTTCTGACAATATTCCTGTTGAGTGAGCTCTTGATAAAGCATCTCACAGCAGCAGGTGCCTTCAGATCCATCAAAGAGTTATTTAATATCCTGACTTGGAAGTCACTGAGTGCTTCACGTAATGCTGTTCTACCCTGTTTGCAGTGTCTGTGTGATGCTTGCTCCAGTGGAGCTGAGAGCTTCCTCCATCCCAATCACTCCCACCTGGTGCTACTGGTTTTGTGGCCTGGCTGCAAGAGAGCTTGCTATCAGCTGGGTGAGGGGACAGCAGCCAGTACTCCTGGCAATTCTCACCGATCACACAGCACCTGCCAGAACGATCCCTAACAAGAGCAACTCAGAAAAATCACTGCTTTCCAAATGATTCCTTTCCATCATTACCATGAAAATAGCGCCTACTAGGTGCAGGATGCTTCCCTGGTGGGTGGGGTGTGTATTGGATGCTGTGGGTGGTAGCAGTGCCTATGGCTGAGTAACCTGGGGACTGTGGGTCCAGAAATTCTCTTCATCCTCACAGTGGTGGGAAAGGACACTCTCAGAATGCCAGACTCAGAAGGAAGTTCAAATGGGCTGCATTTTAGATGGTTTTGCACTGAAACAAAGCGTGTGATCAGCAAAGGCACAAGTCAGACCGTGTTCACTCAACAAACCACCAGAAAGATTTTTTGCTCAACATTTGGGTTTGGTGTTGCCTTTCCCAAGCATCACAAGCACATCATGCTGCTCTCAAGACCATTTAGAAGATTTTCAGGTATCACTTTCCATCTCATATATGCCATTAATGTGAGGAAATTAATGGTGACTTTACGGGGACCGCTTATGCTCTGTGCAAGCAGGGTATCCCCACAGAGCTGACCTGGCTTAGCTCCTTCCCACAGGCAAAAAGAAGTTCCAGTGCATCAACAGGCTCTCACTACCATGGGCATGAGCCCATACATACATGGATACATACATGTATCTCTGATGTATAATGTGCACTAATTGTGTTATGCTCTAATGGTAACTAATGAAACCAGATACAATCCAGAGATTAGTAGGGAAAGATCCCTGAGCTATGAGACTCCTCAAAATCCTCCTGTCCAGCTGATACTGAGCTCAGAGCATGGGAAACCCTGAGCAACAATTAAGATAAGTAATGACTTTTCATGTTATTTCTTGGAAGAGAAGCAGAGCTGGCCACTGTCAGAGCTCACAGCAGCAGCCTGTGAAAATTTGTCTGCATCTGGTTTGTTCACAGCCAGATGGATTTCTTTCTGTTCGCTTGGGAATTGAGAAGACATGACAACTGTACAGAGCATCCTCAGGATTGTCGGACGTGGAACAGTTTGACCGTACCATGTCAGTACGTGAAGAGTAAGGTCACTGAGGCTGATATTTTTCCCTGCGAGAAGAGCTTTGAAGTGAAATGTGGGTTTGTGAAGCTGCTTTTAATTGACTGACCCTGACAGAGTGTCCAGGTGTGAGGCCATTACTAAGGAAATTGTGATAATGGGCCTTGTGTCCACTCATATCCCAGCACTGCAGCTGGGATAATTTTCCTGATTTTATTAGTGAGAGCGAGTTTTTGTGTTCACAGAAGCATGGAAAAGAGGGGAGGGGAGAGGAGGAACACAATGTCTGAGAATGTCTTTTTCTATGCTTTGAAGAAAAACAGCAGATCTCCACCCTCTGGGGTTTTGGTTAGCCCGTTGTGATCCTGACCCTCTTCTTTGAACCCTCATCATGCATTTGCTGTCCAAAGCAAAGGCTAATTAGCTCTGAAGAGTAATGTTCTCACTGCTGGTCTCCCCAGAGAGAAACCCCTCCCAGCCCCTCCGTGTTTTAGCACAGGGCTCCAGTGAGACACTTGTCAGAGCACTTAACCAGCATTGCAGTAATGACCTCGCCAGCCTGTTAGGCCAGCACATCAACCAAGTGGTTTCCTTAACAAATAACATAAAACATTTTAGGGAAAGACTCAATCCTTTGTGACTGGTGCATGGATAAAATGGTTCTTACTGCACATTCCTCCTACACTTGTATTTCTAAACCTAAATTCTGCTCTAATGCAGTGCTTCTTTCTGCCCAGACTTGATCAGAAACTTCAGTGCAATTATTTTCCATGCTTTTATAACACTAATAAAATGTTTCATCTTTGTGCTGCTGCTGAAGGGGCTGTGAGCAAGAAAGAAACGAAGTGATTTGCCCTGTCAAGGCAGTAAGAGAGCTGTAGTCAGATAGGGACCCCAGAAGTGAAATTACTTTATCCAGGCTTAAGTATAAACATCTGAGTTACTTGTCGAGACTTGCTTTATAGTCAGAGGAGAGAAATTAGAGTGATTCATTTCATCCTGAGCAAAAAGGCTGCGTTAGGTCAAATGAGAATTGTCTGGGAAGCATCTCTTCCAGCTGAGTTACGAGGAATCTCAGGATGATGGGCTCCCCAGGAGATGACTCCAGTATTGACAGGGCTGGATGAAGTGAATCTCTCCAGGCTGGTTCTCTACCCCACACAGGGCTTTGAAGCAGATACACAGATTTTATTTTCTTTTCTTGTTCAGGAAAGCTAAGGTGGGAAAAAGATACTCTCCATGCTGTTACCTGTATGACTATCCCAATTTGGGCTTTTGTATTTCAGCTTGGCACTGGACCAACCAATGCTGTGTGTGCTGGTAGTGGTGGCTGAGGGAAGAGGCTCTTTGTGGTGCATGGGGATGTCCCAGCATCCACAGGACCATAACAAAATGAAGCATTTTAGATCTTCACCTCAAGTGCTTCACGTCTACCTTGGTGAAGCCAAACCTCACCTCATTTTAGGGGCTTGCCATCCAGGTGTCTGTTGCTCAGGCAGTCACTCCCGTGTCCTCGAGTCTTTGGAGCAGTTCATCTGGCCTGTTCTAGCTGCTGACTGAGGTGAGCTGAACCCCAAACCTCTGTCCCTGGACTGGCCTACGGGTCAGTGAGGCATGGACGTGCTGCCCCAGGGAGTGACCTGCGTGGGACTGGAATTTGGCAGAGGTGACACCAGAAGAGGTGGTGCCTTTGGCATCGTCTGCTCCTGGTTGCTGTTGCTGGGGCAGTGGATTTTGAAGGACACGCATTTTATGAACCCACAGCACGGCCACTTCCTCACATCTACCCTCCTCTTCTACATCCATAAACCAAATCTGTTCCTAAAACCCTATATCAAGATACATGGCATGGACAAACATGCAGCAGGGATCCAGGCAGAAAGATGCAGCTCTCATCTAACACCCAAGTTGCCATGGTTTCTGTCAGAGCTATCTTTTAGTACAACACTGTATGTATTTTACATTCTCCTTTTTCTCTTGGGATCACATTGCAAGTGGAGACTTTTCCTACACAAAATTAATGTTTTTATCTGTTACCCAGCAAAATGATAGAGTGAAGGCTTTAGAGCAAAATCAGGGGTTTTTGTTTTATTTTGATGGAATGCTGAATCTGATTGACAAATAACAGTCCTCAGTGTAAAGATAATTCATTCAGAAAGTTAGGAGAAAAAGAAGTTGGTGAAAGTGATATTTCTAACAATTCAGGGATACAACGAACAGCTTTAAGTGGGGAGTTGGTCCTTGCATTACACAGATTAATTGACTTTCTCTTTTTTATTATAAGACTCTCAAAAACTCTTAAAATACACTCAGATTGATTGTTAACTGAAGTGATCAAGTGTTCACCAAAACCCAGGGTAGGTTTTAATTGTTTTCTCCACATCCATGAGGGATGGATTTTACTCAGCAAAGCAAAGGCATTGTTTAAATTCAAGGTGAGGCAGAATAATGGGTTTAGAATTTATTTGAATGCAGTGCCTACTAGTACCTTGTGGGGCCAGAGATGGAATAATTAGGTTTTCCAAACTGGTTTGCAGCAGCGCTAGCTCTCAAGGGGCTGCCATCATTATTTAGCTTTGCTTTACACTACCTTTCTTAATGTCATTTTCATTGCTCCAGAGCACCAGTTTTGTAGTTCTGCAAGTACTGTAGCTTACAGTGGGCTTTCTGAGTGCCCCAGGCAGAGGTACAGGCAGTACTTGCCACGTCAGCGCA